TTCTACATGTCCAAGGGTCCTTCCAGCACCGATTGGACCTTCCAGCCGTCAGCATCTATCATTGCCGAAGTCACTACGGTCACTGTTCAGCCTATTCCGGCCGTTCCCTCTGCCCGACAGGAAGCCCAGAACAATTCTACATACAGCGCTTTCCACACACCCTTCTCGAGTCCATTTGCTGGCTGGAATGACACTTTGACTGGCTCTCCTATCGGTGGCACGTCTGCAGCTGGCACTGGTGTTTCTTACGGACTGCCTGCGCCTCTCACCTGGTCAGCAGAAGTCCAGCCAACTCAGTCCTTGTACACGTCCACGGTCACGGAGATTTCCACGGTCTACGCGACAAGCTTTGCCCCTACAAGCGGGCACGGAACACCAGCCTATGGTTACGACACCTCCGCATATAGCTATGATCCAATGTCAGTTGCTGGAGACGATCTGGAAAAGAGACAGACCTGCGTATGGATTTCTGCAACAATTGGTGGGCAAGAGGTTGGATGGTGCAACAATTGGGCCGGAGAGTCAACACTGACTTTCACTTCGTGGGAAACAACCAGTGAGTCCACCCGGCCACGCTCTCCCAAACAATTTGCTGACTAAACCCTAGCGACTCCTACTTACATACCAGGTATTGGCCCCATTACCAAGTCCGGAGGGTCCGTCACGATCCAGACATCCACCGACTGGTCCATCTCCTCATCATTGGCCGCAACACCAACTGCTTGCGGCGAAACTGGTCCCTTCCGAATTGGAGTAGGTATCCTTGAGACTTCTGAGATTGAGTGCTTGCTGACCAGATTAGTTCGATGATCTACCCGTTTTCTCTACCACTGACAATGACACCGCGGACTTCCCACCTATTTTCAACCCATATGACCACTTCTTCTGGGGCGATGGATGGGCCTACGTACCTCCGCCGACCGAGCCTTTCCCTCCACAGTCAGGTAACCGACTCGCTCAGTTTGTCCCGTCACTCGACAACACTGTAAGTGGTTCTACGAGTGCGGGTGCCATTCCCCCCAGTTCATTCGGAGCCGGACCTCGCAATTATGACAATAACTATTGGTTCAGCGCCAGTTCCGCCTACGTGGGATGCGACAACGGGTCCAGAAATCTGAGCAAGATATGCGACTTTGTTGCCACTGCTTATCAGTGGGACAATGTTACAGAGACGGAGGTTGTAGTGGCCACTCAGCATTTCCGTATTCCTCCATGTCCGGACTTCAACAAGTGTCAGCTCACCCAGATTGATTTCAACTATCTCTTCTACAAGATGTCCACCCTGAGCTTCTACGCTAACGTTCAAGGCCAGGTCAGTCAGTTCTGGATTGACAGTATCGACATGAATTGGTACAACAACACCTGTACAGCAGGTCTGGCCAGGATACAATCGAGGAAAATCTAACAGGGGGAGGTGTAAAGTGGACTTGATACGACAGGCACATAATGGCACAAGGTGGGAACGGGGAAAGTTGGCCACGTTGCCTTGTGAATATTCGGAATACGAAAAGGCGCTTGGAGTAACCGAGCTGGAAGGTTGAACGTGTTTCAAACGTGGAAAGAGTGTCAAAGGACTGACTGGTACAATAGCCAGGCATCATACAGCAGTCAGCATACAGAAACATGGTGGAGCTCCTCCAATCTGTAACAAAAGTGGACACGTCAAAGCAGAAGCAGCGACAAAACTTGGGGGATAATGACGGGGTGTGAAAACGAGCTGAACGTAATTCCACGAAATCTTCTCCTCTCACTGTCTTGTCTCCTTTTCTTAAATTTCTTTTCATCCGTTCGGGTCTGGTCGGCCGTGCTAGATGGTGGCGTTTGGTGCATGTTGACCCAGGGGAATTGCCAAGCCAAGGCTGAGATCATGGAGGTGCCACGAGGCTCAACTTCGGGCAAACTCTACTCTATATAATAGAGTACAATAGTTGCAAAGACAGGCGAATCGCTACCTGAGACGGTGGCGGGCGAAGACATTGAAACTCAAAGCCATGTTCTGCGATGGTTGGCCCGGCTCTGCCCTATTTGTAATTTTCTCACTGACCCCCCGCAGCTCAGGATTCAAACTTTGGTAGCGGAGTCTCAGCCCATACAATGGATATGGTTCGGGACGCCACCACGGTAGGTCCCCCACCAGAGAATCCTCGGTGTGAACAGCATAACAAGCGAACCTTTTTGTATCAAGGAGGCACCTGCTGCTTTCTGCATGGTATCAAACTCAACATTTCTTCCTCAAACACATATTTTATCGAGCGTACCTGCAGTCAAAGAAGACATTCTTGCCATCCAAGTCAACGTACTACACTTCCATCCTCAACTCCTCTCAATACTTGGATCTCGGTCTCGCAGGGCGCAACACCTTCCGCGACAAATTCTTGTTATCCATTTCCTCGATACCCTCCAGCAATCAGTCGTTATGCCGTGCCCAAGAGATATCAACCTCGTCCCCAACACTTACAAAAGACGGCCCCTTGAAGACGCGATGGATTCGTCAACTTTGCAGAGACCTTCCACACCAACAGCCCAACCGACCAAGACGTTAGATTAGGGGATGTTGTCGACATTGCCGTCGGAACTGCGCGACCAAGTATTCCTGCACTGCATCGGTAACCGCTCGGTCGGCATCATTCGCGCAAGCAAGCAGTTATATCGGGAATTCATCCCGCTGCTATACGAGGAACTCAAGTTGGTGTTCCAAGTAGACCCAACCGATCCACTGTCGAGAGTGAGGGTCCTCAACCAGAACGGCCGGGTGGTGGAGTGTTTGTCGTACCATCGAGACACCGTTCTCGACAAGATGCCCATCGACCGGTTCAAGTCGATTCCATCTTGGTGGACGCGCCAGATCCCCAGGACCCATGCCAGTTGTTGAGGGCATGCAAACAGTGCACATCCTTAATGATGGCGCTGCTACCACAGTGGAGAGGTCGCAACAGACTCCTGGAGTCCAGTATCTAGCCTAGCCAATCAGGGCGGAGCCCGGATATTGGGCCTGAGGACTGAGACAACCTGGACTTTATCTTAAATGACTCTCTGAACTTGGTCATCTGAGGGCCCAGCGAGCTACGAATACCTACCTAGTGAGGCTCGGTAGTTGCTTCCAAAGCTTCGAGACCTCGGGATCCGGGATGCCGGAAACTGGGAAGCAGGGGGTCAAGTTGTAGGTTCCTACAGACTTCTCCCGGCTGACGTCAGGACGCACAGCTGCAGCTCAGAATTTCTCTGTTAGGCTCTAGAGTAGATTGGGGGTGCTCGGGTCCGGAATTGAAATGGCCTTTGGAGAGGTCGAGCTTCGCCTTTGTGTATGGAGCATTGTCGCATTGGACTGGACTAACGCAAGGGCTTGGGGAAAAGGGGGTGAAGGAGGTCAGCCTCGCGCCTCATATGAATCTTTTGACAAGAGAGGCACAAACAAACCTGTCAATCAAGGCCAGTATTTGGCGAGTCAGTTGCTTGACCGCGTATTCAGCAGCCGCGACGTTGGACAGCAACCCGCTACTGACTAGGATTCCAGTAGTGGACCAACTACAAAAGCCTTCCTCTCTTCGACTGTTCCTCCGAATTCTTCCCCCTTTCTTGTCTGCTCGGGTTTTACAGGAACCCGAGCCTAAGGATAATTCGAGCTTGAAACTTGACCCACGTCTGAAGCCATTAACATCGGTTTGCATACAGCGACTCTTGAGTGACACCGGATCTCTGGTAATGGTGCAGTGCCGATCAAAGGGAACACCATCTCGACTTCCAATGTGTAACTCATCGCTGGAAGATCAAACACCACACGCTGGGGCTAGTCGGTTCACGCTACGTCTGCGAAAGGGTGCCGAAATCTGTCGCCGTTTAGCCACTTGAGCGTGAATATCCCAACCATGTCATTGACGGTCTTCCCAAAGTCTTCAGACTACAATCTTGTCAGACTGCTTACAGGACAAGAAGCTTCTCGGTCGGACCGACAAGTGCCAAAAAGTATAGCTGCAAGCTCCTGAAACTACACATATATATGTCCATCATATCCAACAAAAATGTCTCCGCCAACCCTACCACTGCAATTCGACGGGTACGGCGATCACGTCCAGGATCTGAACACCTCAATTGTCAAATATACGGCCACACTACGGACTCGTGGTGGATCGCCAACCCTGAACTTCGTCCTCTGGGTTGTCGACGTCGACCGGGGGGCCCAACCTGGGCAGGTTTGGAGCAATAGATGGACGTATCTTACTAGAAGCCCTCCAGCTCCGACGCAGCTAAGCGTCTATTCACACGGTTTTGGTTTCTCGATCTACCTCCGGAAAGCCAGAACCAAATCTATCAACAAGCCTATGAGAAACCCTACGTGGTAACTGCGTCGCGAAATGTGAGTCGTCGCTCCGAGCTAAGGATCCACAAACTTGGCACACCGTGCAATCTCCATCTTGTTTTCGGGAAGATTTACGAGGACTCGGAGTTCGCGCGAGAGGAGAATTCGCTCAGTGGCCGCCTTCGCTGCTTCTGAGGTCCGATCCGACAATTGAACCAAGACACTGAATTTGCTGAGCTGCGAAACAAGGCCACACCTTCGGCTTCACCAGCGCCAGCTTACACTTCACCTCGTTTGGGTTTGCGGAATAGGATGGCCTACCCAAGTACTTTCCGAATGTGAAAGAGATTCACGTAGAGCGGGCCAGAAGACTGCAAAAGTATCACAAGGATCTCTGCAGCCAGGAGTGGATAGGGCTTTGGAAACCAAAAGTCATCCGTGCATTCCTAAGAGGCGATGATGACGCGAAGCACGTGCGGCCGGCAGCCCGACTCAAAATGTGGCACCTTTCACCACTTCTGATAGGGAATCCCAAAAATTCAAGGTGTACTTGACGACAACTTTTTGATGGTCATCCGACGAACACAAGCCTCTTTATGTGCAAGTAAGGCTTGAATTCCAAGGCTCGGCGGCATTATTCGCGCTAACGATTGACATCAGCGAATCAAGTTTCTCCTCACCAGTGATGGGGAGGACCAGGCGATCAATAGGCAAGTGTATCGGCTGGGATGTTGTGCGGACAAGGTCTCTCATCGACGGCAAATGGCGTTTTGAAGAATGTTCTGTGGTACTGCAGATTATGATGACGCACGTCGAGTTGAAATGCTAGGAAGCCTGGAAACGCAGCAGCAATGAGTTTATTCACCGAGGAGAATACTCCTCCTGTGGCGATTCGCCCTTCCCATGGGCCTTTCAATAGCATCAAGTCTGCCGTGCAGTCAAGCCCAGCATTCCCCAGCCTCCGATAACAATGCCAGAAACCGCTCTGAAGATTGCGCTCATAGGCGCACCTTCTTGCCAGCAAACGTAGGCATCGGCGCCGCCGACATAGAGGAGCAGTGCCAAGGATCGTGTCCACTGCCGCCAGCTTGCCTTGAAGATTAAAGACCCAGATTGCCATTTCAAGTGCCGAAACTCGCGCCCTGCTGATTACGAAGCTGGCATGAGTGGGCTCTGAGGTGGCAATGCGCTCAGGGAGCCCGAATTCAAGAATGGCGACATGGGGATTCCAAAAGGGTATCCTGCCACCGAAGGTGAGACAGGTAGCGACAAGGAGGACTGGAGCATGGAGGGTGCGGAAGGCTACTCCCATGATGGCTGGACAGGCGGGTCTGGAGCAGTTGGAGGCGAGTTATTCCCACGAGATCTGTACTCTTATACTGAAGGATCGATCTGGCGAAGAGGGGAGGAAGAACAAACCCAGGAACCGATGCTGGATGGCGGGATGATGCCAAGATGCCAAGCTCCGCAACCATCGACGTCATCCTCGGCGCCCGCCCGGCGAGCCGGGATTCCACCCGTCCGTCTTTTGTCTTCTTCCTTGAATTGTTCTCCACTGTACATTGTCGTTATGGATGTGACCTGCGTCGTCGTAACATCTTCCTTCGCTATCCTGAAAGGGGCATGTCCAGCGCAAATGGCCAGCAGGACTATCTCAATGGCCACTCCGGCTTTATCCTCGCCGTCTTCTGCGTTGTCTCCATGTTGGTTATCTGGCCGGTCAAGATTCGGCTGCCGGCCGTTCTCCAACGGCTTCTGCTCTCAACGCTGCTGAATACCAGAGTCATCGGGTTCAATGACTTCAAAGCCCTATCCAACCGTCGGCTCCATGTCCACTTGTCACTCACCACCGCCCCCGTCATCGCCGTCATTCTTCTCCTCGCGACAACGACTATACAGGGCTCTACCATTCGCCTAGGTATTGTCGGTGATGAAACTGTCAAACCCTATGACGTCCTTGTTCTTTTTATCTCGCTCGCCTACATCTCAATTGCCCTTGACGGCACCGGCGCTCTCGAGGCTACCGCATTCTACGTCTCCAAACGTGGCGGCAGCTCGGGCCGCCTGCTCTTCACTTATCTGTACGCCTTCTTTCTGCTCACGGCGTGTATCGTGGGAAACGACCCGCTCATCCTCTCTGGCACGCCTTTTCTAGCATACCTGAGCCAGCATACGGGGCTTGATCCTACGGCCTGGGTGTTTGCAGAGTTCATGGCAGCGAACACTGCCTCTGCCGTCCTGGTGAGCAGTAATCCGACCAACATTCTCATAACGGGGAGTTTTGGGCTCAACTACTTGACGGACTTCACCAAGTGGACGGTTCTTCCCTCTCTGATCCCGGCGGCCTTGAACTATCCCATTCTTCTAGGCATGTTCTGGAGGAAGATCCCCAAGACGCTGACTCCATTGGCGGACGACCCGTGGAGCAAACTCCGTGACCGCACAGGTGCTTTCTTCCTCAGCGCTTTGATGCTGGTTACGGTGTCTGTGCTTGTCGGTACGAGCTTCGTGCCGGGTCATGCGGTCGAGGTCTGGATGATCACTGCGCCAGCAGGAGTTTCGGCGTTCTTTTTCAACATTCTTAACGACTGGTTTCATCCAGAGGTTGGTCGAGAAATTGTTCGGCAGCAGTCACGGGATTCTACCGCAGAGATGGCGGAGATGGACCAGCGGCGGTCGATACCAATCCAGGTCCATGTCTCACAGGGCGACCAATTGCATGACCCTTCAGATCCAGAAGGAGAGCTCCCGTTATCCAAATCCTCTGGGTCTCCATCACCATCACCGCCAGTTCAAGCAAAAGACGAGGAAAATATCAGAGCCAAGGGCGACTCCCAACCTACCGAATCTAAATCTCAGCCTCTTTCTCTCCACTTTCCTACAAGGAATCGAGTCCACAAGGAAGCCCTACCCAGCACGCAAGCCGAGCAAAAATCACTGACCTCTCTCCTCCGCGCGTTTTTATCACGATTCCCCTCCACAGCGCATACCGTCTCCCTCCTCCCCATCCCGCTTCTCCCTTTCGCAATGGCCGAATTCATCCTTGTCCGCGGCCTCGCTCAGCGCGGATGGATCCGTGTCTTCGCAACTGGGTTTGCCCGTGCATGCACATCCCCCCCCGCTACAGTCTTTTTCTTCGGCTTCGTTAGCGCTGCGTTCCTGTGCCCGTTGGCTGGGACGAATATCGGCGCGACAATCATCCTTGTGGAGATTATCCGAGATCCTCAGTTCATGCTCTCCAACCATGTGCGACGTGATCCGAGGGTATTGCCTAGTGCAATATATACTGTGGCAATGGGCAGTAACATTGGGGCATTCAGCTACACCTTCGCCGGATCTCTGGCGGGCCTGCTCTGGAGGGGTTTACTCGCGAACAAGGGCGTGCGTGTGAGTCAGTGGAAGTTCGCCAGAGTGAACCTGTTGCCGCTTCTGATGCAGATTGTAGTATCCAGTGCCATTGTGCTGGGGGAGGTTTACTGGTTTGCATAGCATTCAGTCAGTTTAGAGGCGTCGATGTGGATGTTGGGGACGGTAGAAACTGATCCGTTAAAATCAGTCCTTTCATATAGAGAGCTAGATCAGTCCCTTAGAATGCCAGCCAAGGCGTTGGTCAGTAATGGCAAGATTAAGCAAGAGACCGAACTCGAGCAAGCTCAGATTGCGGAGGTTCGAGACCGAGTTTGACGACCCAACCACGGAAATTTCCCTCAAGGAAACGGTGGCATAGTACTACTCAAAGGACCGTCAACGTCGAGATCCATTCACGGTCTTGGAGGAGAGAGGGTTTGAGGAACTCGCAAGATCCACAAAAATTGGAAGACGAGGAGTTTTGCGGCCGTAGGTGGACACAATGATACAAGGAGTACATCACACCGAAAACCCCGAGTTGACATTCCGGTAGTTTCCAACAAGGCCCTGGTAAATTTTTTTTATTTTTTGAGAGAAACCAATCGCGCTGCTGTTGATCCCCGTTGCACGTTTTACCCATCCATGATCGCAGAGGGACTTTTGTGGCAAACCCTTAGAGCTGCAGGTTGACGCCGAGTTTCGATTTTATCAACAGGTCATGCCACGACATCGAAGCGTCGCTGCTTTGGACTTTCTTGACTTGCCCCTTTGCCAATGATTCCTCCAGCCTCGCCTCGCGGTCGGCTTTGATCTGGAACAGTCGCTGTCAGCGATCGAGAGCCTGGCAACTTGCTGCTGTCGCAATGCAAATGTGTGACCCCCGACTTACATCGGCTTCGCTCGGGGTGGCATTCTCCTCAGTCCAATGCCGATTACCGGGCTTGTCCGGCAGCTTTTCCTGGGTAAGAGCGCTTTCCGGATGGGCCTTGATATCGGATGCCTTTTCTGCTCGATGGAGAGCTGTCGGTGCTAACGATATCCTGCTGGAGGTGTGACATCTGATCCCACCGAGAGACACGAGCCGTGGCCTTGCGATCTGGCTGACGGACGGCTTCATGGTAAACATGAGGTGAATGAACACGGGAAACCTTTGCAAAGCGAGTTTGAGATAGACAGCAGCGAGGTAGACGGAGGAAGGAAGGCTTTATAACAGTTTTCAAGCAGGACTGAGGCAAGAACGCAGCTGCTTGATATCATCACGCCCATATCTGTACGAGGTCGGAAGCAGACGTGGCGTGACCTGCATTCTAGACCGACGTCTCTTGCGTGAACTTCATGATTGGGTTTTGACTTCTTGGGTGTGCCTCACGCCACTCGCCCGTTGGCTTGGAGAGTTTCCATTGATTCTGAGCACCTTTTATGTATCGACAGAGCGGAGAGATCATGCCGCCTTTTCCTTCGAGGCCCGGGGAGATCCGTTTCAAATATTCGTGCCCTTCTTGGCGAACGGATGCCACTGATATCTAGTCGGTGGGTTCCCACCTGCAGTAACCCATGCTGGACTATAGGCTTTTCTGTTGTATTGATTTAAATGCGCTTGTTTGCATGATAGATGTGGTTGTTTGTCGGCGAGGTTGCTGGTTCCCACCACTTCCTACTTAACCTCCTTGGAACCGGGCCAACACGACCCTTCCTCTCTTCTCATCGTGTTCTGCTATGGAACAGGTCAAGCGTTGTTGGGGAGCTTCGCTGCTGCACTCATCCGACCAACCATTACGGCCGGGTCAAGTCTCCAATCGATCAACAAGGATGTTTCAACACCCTTCCCACCGATCACGATGACGGTCAGACGTGAGAGAACGGAGGGGGGGGAGGCCATCTTCTAATCACGGCAGCTCACCGAACCAAAGAGGTTATCAACCTCGAGCATACCTGGTGGAGAACAGGCCTCTGATTCTCGTGTATACATGCGGCAACGCGGCCGCTCATTCTGGTGTTCGCTGACTCTGTTGTCATGCTTATGGATTGTCAAATGCGGTAATCGTAAAGTGAGGCTAGGGAGTAACTGGGTCCCCTGAGTCCTAGGGTTGCCAGCGACATGTGGGGCGATAGAAGTCTTTGGATATATAACTAATCATCAATGCGCAGGTCCTACAGAGACTCTGCTCAAAGACGAACCCAGCTTTGATGGCACAATACTCGTCGACATGATGCAGATTGGAGACCTCATCTGGAGCCATTCTTTGGCTTTCGCAGCCCCTGCCTTGTCGTTGTTGATTGTCACTTTCTTCCTCAAGCGCTATCTTCGCCTTCGCCACATTCCAGGTCCTTTCTTCGCAGCATTCACAGACTTCTGGTTCGCCTATAAATTCTGGACCGGCACGACCTTTGCTCGACTCACCACAGATCTTCACCAAAAGTATGGGCCAGTGGTCAGGTTGGGACCAAATCGGTTGATCTTCAGCAAGGCGTCTGCCATTCCTGTGATATACAGGACGACTGATGTGATGCCAAAGGTCAGTCTCATGGAACCCAAGAATCATCCATTGGCGGTTCCGGAACAAGCTCACTGGACTTAACTAGTCTTCATTCTATCTTCCGATTCGAGTCATGATCCGGGGCCGCGAGGTCACATCTTTTATTAGCATTCTCGACGAAAAGCGAATGAGTGCTGTCAAGCGCCTTCTGCTTGGCAACTTCTCCATAAATTCCTTTCTCCGACAAGAGTCAGAGCTCGATCACACAATCTCCTCACTGGTAAGATACCTCGAGGACACCAAAACCGACATCGCAATAGGAACCACTCTGGGGTACTGGGCTTTTGACAGCATTTCCCGCATTGCGCTCACAGAAGACCAAGCCTTTTTGAGCCAACAGCAGGACTTTGGGAACACAATCGGAGGCGCGTCCGAGCGCATCACGCACTGGCATTACTGGGGAGCCATACCGATGTTGGAATGGTTGCTCTTCAAAAACCCGATTATGCAAAGAATGGGAAAATCTTCGATGTTGGGCGCGCTTGCGGCGCAAAGGCTGCAGCAGAGACTGCGGGAAGAAAAGCGGTTGGAAAGCCAGCCCGACCTCTTAGGAAAATACCTGGCAGCCAGTCGAAGGGCACCCGAGTTGATCAACACAACAGACGTAGTAGGCTTCCTGGTGTCGACGATGCATGCTGGAAGCGAGACTATCGGGCAGGTCACCGCAGGCATCCTCGTAACTCTGTTGCAGCATTCGGAGAAAATGAAGAAGCTCGAGAAGGAAATCCTGTCGGCGTCACTGAGCGACATGCCGCGGTTTTCCGAGGTGAACAGCCTTCCCTACCTAGATAGCGTCATTCGTGAGTCTCTGAGGCTGAACAGAGCTGGCACGACCATCCTGGAACGGACAGTCCCGGAACCTGGGGCAACGATCGACGGCGTTTGGGTGCCCGGTGGCACGAATGTCTCGGTCAGCACGGCAGTATTGAATAGAGACACTGATGTTTTTGGTCCCGCTGCCGAGAAGTTCATACCAGAACGATGGATCGGGCTGAGTGAAGAGCAGTTCAGGCAGATGGACCACGCTGAGCTCGGTTTCAGTACCGGACGGCGGATCTGCATCGGGCGCAATTTGGCAATGATCGAAATGAAGAAGGCTCTGGCGCGCCTCATCAAGACTTTCAAGGTCAGTCTGCCCCTTTGAGAGCAGCGCGCCTGGATGCGTGGACTGCGTGCTGAACAAGATGGAAGATTACTCCCACCGATCCCAGCGACAGCCTCCAACCAATCGCGCGGGGGCCCATACGACCATTCTACAACACAAGATTAGATTTTGTAAGACGGGAGAAAGAGGGCGTAGAAGAGGAGGCTGCAGCTTGATTAAGACAGAACATCCGAGACAGGTATCGTTGACTGAGTGATGGATATTAATTCAGGGAGATAGATTTGAAGGGGAAGAAATTGTCATATTGCTACGTTAAAGCGGCATGAGCTTTAATCTGTTGCCGTGGCAGCACATTCGAGGGGGACAAACTGTAAACACCATGGCCTTCTTCTCGTCCACTGACGGCGACATTACTTCACTGACTAAAGCAAGACGAGCACCATGTCTGCAGCATCGTTCGAATTAGATAGTCTTCGAGATTTCAGTGCCATCTTCGCTCCCAAGCCGTTAATGGCCACCGGCACAAATACCGTCCTGCGAAGATCCCCGCGCAAGAAGACCTCAGTGGAGGAGTCTTCATCGCCTCAGAAGAAACAGCGAGATGTGCCGAGCTCAAGAAAGAGAATCGAACTCAATAACCCCGGGATCCCCGTGAAGGGGCGCGGCCGTAAAGAAGCTACGAAGCCTGGCAGGGGACACCCGTCCCTGCTCAAGGACATCCCGCCTCTCCCACGAGATCTCACTGTCGCCGAGACCCATGTCACCTCCAACAACCGCCGCTCTCCCGCAAGTCCCCAAAGAAACCTCAGATTGGCCCACGTAGACCCACTGCTAAATCCGCTGAAGGCCTTGGTCGTGGAAGATGGAGAGGCGTCTGCTGCAATAGCACATTCGACGAAGAGTATCTGGGGAGTCCGGGTGTTTGACCAGGTCGAGAAGCTGGCCAATTCTCGAATGACGGAGGGTGCAACACAGTCAAAGGGGAACAAAAGCAATCGCGGAAACAAACAGAAGCCAAACCATGCGAGCAGGTTCGTCCTGAAAGAGGCTCGATGCAACGATGACATTGAGGATTCGGGTAGGGAGGACGAAGAGGACGACGAAGACACAGATTTGAGCGGCTTTATTGTCGATGATGATGCCGAGCTGAGCTACTATGATTCTTCGGGGTCGAACTCGGACGAGGATGATTATAGGAGACCGACAATGAAAGTCCCCCAAGTGCGTCCGCGAAGAAGACTGCACCGTGGGTCGCCAACTCGGCGGCGCCTCAGCTTTGGTGATGATGGGGAATCGGACAAGGAGAACCATCCGGCAGAGACACTGTCAAATGCACTGCGAGACATTTCCCTAGAGGACAAAAACTCCGGGACTATGAGAGGAGAAATTGAAGTGATCGATCTAACCCTGTCTCCGACTGTCTCTCCCGAGACCAGATTTAATAACCGACCCAGTGTACGCTCACCGCAAATTCCTCCTGTCTTTCCATGGAAGGAATCTTCCCAAGACTCGAATCCTTTCAAGAACTTCGATGCCCACCTTCAACTCCCTCCGCCTGCCTCTAAGCCTGCCCTAATGGTCCCCTCCAAGGACCAGCCCGTCGACAGCTATTTTGGCGAGGGTTTAGGAGATGTGTGGAAGAAGCCCGCCGACGAGGCAAGCGATCACTTCAAGACACCGCCAGCCACGCCACCCCGATCACCTTCGAAACTCAAGTCACCCTCAAAGTTACTGTCCCCTTCCAAACGACAGGCTATCCCACAGTCGCCGCATCGTCAGAGTATGGACGCGTTCTGGGATCATAACGTGGTCAACGACTGGAATGACAAATACTCTCCGAAGAAAGTGCCAGCAACATCTCCGAGAAAACGTCTCTTTGATCGGTTTCAAGTGTGGTCGGACTCGGAGGACGGGGAGAAAGACAACGCTTTCAGCAATTCTGATTCACTTCCTAGTCCTTGTTTGTCGCCACGCAAGTCAAGATCACCGACCAAAAGTCCAGAGAAGGAAGAGAAGAAACGTTTAGCAGAAGAGAAACGCGCAGCGGCAGCTCGGAAGAAGGTGTTTGACTCCCAAAAAGAACAACTTGCGCGCGACTTGCTGTATGAGCTCGACGAAAAAGTCGCCAACTCCCAACTCAACCGGCTAGCATCCAGCACAGGCGGTATCCGCATCATCTGGTCAAAAACCCTCCGTTCAACAGCTGGCCGAGCAAATTGGAAGAGAACTGTTACAAAGCCACCTGGCTCACCCGTCAAAACCAACAATGTAAAAGAGGCCAGCGGCCTGGGAGTGAAAGTGCAACACTTTGCGTCGATTGAACTGGCTGAGAAAATCATAGACTGTGAAGATCGTCTGGTTAACACCCTCGCGCATGAGTTCTGTCATCTAACGAACTTCATGATCAGTAACGTGCGCGACCAACCTCATGGTGCAAGTTTCAAGAACTGGGCCGCAAAAGTCACTTCGCATTTGCGATCGACCGATGTTGAATCTTGGAGAAAGGTGCATGTCACAACTAAACATAGCTATGCGATCAATCACAAATACCTCTGGGTTTGCGTTGGCCGCAAGGAGAACTCAGCAGCAGCGGACGTCCTCAAGTTGGAGGAGGGGGAGGGATGTGGAGCAGAGTATGGACGGCATAGCAAGAGTGTTGATGTCGAAAAACATCGATGTGGGAAGTGTAAAGGGAGATTGGTCCAAGTGAGGCCGAAGCCAAGGGCAAGTCCGGTCAAGAAAGAAACAAGCGGAAGTCATGGATGGGGTTTGAAGAGGGAAGAAAGTGCAAGGAGTACAACCTCGAGCACTAGCCGCAGCGTATTGAGCGGGATGATCGAGACGATTGAGCTGAGCGATTGATTGCTTGGTGGTGATTGTTGGAATGAGTGTTGGGAGATGTGCTGCGACGTCCACACTCAGGAAAGCGACCTTTTGAAGGAAGAGGAGATTGGACCGTGGCTTTGCATGGTTGAATATGTGCATATCCAGCAGATTGGCCGGTGTCTGGCGTCTCTATAGGAGCGTTGCAAAGACAACAGTAAAAGAACAATTGTGAGTTTCGAAACCTGATACAGCCAGACTGTTCCTTTTTACCATCCAGCAAAGTGTTGAAGCCGTGCGAATGCGTGAACATTGCATTCATGATTCTTCGGTTCGTCGCCGTTCAGTGCCTGTCATCTATATCTAACTATCTATCTAGGCTCCCCTTCCCGGGGCGACGCAAAGGGCAGGGGAGCAGTGCATTGCTGATGGTTCTGATTTGAACATTGCCCTAGAAGAACTTGACGCGGGCTACGCTGATGCTCGACGAGTAGTATTATCATTGACTCTGTCTGAAATCCGAGTCAGGAACGTGCCTCCATGCCCCGAGCCGCTTGGCAAACCCTCACCCTTTTTCTCGGTCCGTAGTACCACATGACAAGGTAAGTTGTCCATGGAGTCATCGCGCCCTAACAATCTTCCCTTCAAATCTCAGAGTGTTGGAAAGAAAAAACCCAAAAATACCAATCTCGAATCTCCAAACAGAGCACGCATAGCTTTTGTTAAACGCACTGATAATGCTTGTTTGCCCAGAAAGCGGGCTACTCTCTGCTCTACCCCCACCCCTTCTGCCCCTCGGCTCTCTCTGCGCGTGAAGGTTCTAATCGCCCTCGACAACTCCCAAGCGGTGTTGTGCTGCTCATGCATTGAAGAGCCGCCAATCCCGGACCGCCAAGGTCTCCACGATTCTGGTGAGTATGTCCCGCGCATACCCGACTTCCTGCGCAATCATGGCTTCCGTGGCGCCGCTGTCGGTTGACCCTGTGCGTTGGCCGGCCTCGATGAACTCCTTGACCGGGACGTTGATGCGGACGCACAAGTCGGTGCTGTAAGGTTGAAGACGGATCAGGAGGGCGAGCTGATGCACCAGCGAACTCAGCTGCGGCTGCTGCTGAGAGGCGATGGCGGACGGGGAGATCTGCCGGCCTCCGTTAGGGCTTTGCTGAGCCGTACGCGATGTCTCGAAGCTGTTGATGTTCCCCGCCAGCATGTACGCGGGATAGCTTGCCAGGCTCGCATCGACCATTCTCACGGGCTGGGGGTTCGGCAAAGGGGAAGCTAACGTATCTGGTGGCGAAATCACGTCGGTGAAGTGGTATTTCGCGGCTTCGGCATCCAACTCCGCCATTGGCGGCTGTACGGTACCGTTGATTGTTTGGCTGACGGCTGTTGTGGTCGTGGTCGTGATCGTTCCATCTGGTAGAGTTGTTGTTGAGGTAGTCGTTGTGGGCGCGGATGAGGCCCTGGGGTCTGTAATGCTGGGTCCGACGTAGTTGTTGATCTCGAAGATGATGGATGTGAGGGTCGTCGGCGAGAGGAAGACTTCTTGATGGTCTGGAATTTGCCGGATGTCGCTGTTGATGTTGACAGTCGGTCAGCCGCTGGCCGAGACTCGCTGCAAAGAAAAGCAAAACATGCACCAGCCGACGGAGAGGGGCAGAGACCATCAACTCATTCTCGTGTGTTGAGGCTGAGCCGAACTCCTTGCCTAGCTCTCTCCCTCGCTCGCCTCTTCTCAACCCTCCAGGGCGTTCGAGACGGCACCAAACCGCCGTATGAATGCTCCACTCACCTTGAATCAATAAGCTCCACGGGCAATTCCACGGTTAGAGCCCCTCCGTAAAGTTCACGGACGCCGTACATGGCTGCCATGGTTAGTTTTGGCCGAGTCGAAGAATGACGGAATTTGTTGCAGCAGGCGAAATCTGAACTTGATCGGAGGCTGGCGAGAGGAGAGGAAAGTTTTGTCGGTGTTGATGGCAACGGAGACGTTGATGTTGACGGATCAAGGCTGTTTGAGAGGATCAAATGGTAAGACTGTGTCCCTGCTGAGGTTTGGGATCTCTGGACTGGATTGTTCGCCAACAGGCAGCACAGTGACCTGTTGTACCTTGGATTGTCCTATGAGTTCGCCTCAGGCATTCATTCCTCCTGTACAGTCTACTGTCCCAGAAATCGCGGTGATGACATGGTTCCCAAACAACTCCAGCGAATACTCGGAACATTCGATCATCTACCAAGTAGTATCAGAGTCGGCTTGGACATTTTCAGTGGCCTGACCTGGTTGAACCGACAATCACCCGGCTCCATCCATCCACACGCAAGGCTGTCGGCCAAGAAAGGCGAGGGTGGTAACTGAGCACAGGATTCAAGTACACTGCCAGATTATTAAGACCTGTAAATATGTTTTAATTGTTTTTCTTTTTCTGCTTGGGATACTCTCTAGACCAACGGATTTTGGTGCTCGCCTAACCCCGTCGATGCTGTCAATTACATCTCCATAGACTCAAGTAGTTGGCGAGCTGTGAATGAGGGACCCTACAAACCCATATGAACAAAGCGCGCTGTTAACCAATGCACCCACGCAGATTTCACCCCGCTTGCCTGTCTCTACAACAAAATCATACCGGCTCCTGACACGAATGCAATCGTGAGATAAACAACAAGTTGCAGAATGCCCATGTGGCCGGGAGTGGAGACTCCAGGAATACCAGCATTGGAGGTGCTGCCGCTGCCACCAGAGCCAGAGCTGGAGCCAGAACTGGAACCGGAGCTCGATCCCGATCCACCCGTGCCGCTGGGGGCCGAGGTGACCGTACCAGTGCCTCCACTACCAGCCTGGTTGATCAATGTTGCGCAGCTTCCAGTCGGGCTTGTTGGGGATGCTGTCGAGGCCGATCCGCTAAAGTCGCAGGCCGAGGCACCGTTTCCTTGGGCAGCTTGTTGTTCGTAGTAGGAGTTGAGTGCCCAACCAAGTTGTTGCTCAGGGTTGCACATGCCATAGGCACCATAGTCGCCCGTGGTGGCGTTGGCGGCAATACCGTCGCAGACACCCTGGGCAAGGCCGCAAACAATGCCAAACAAGTTACCGATCTCGTCCTCGGCCACGTTGTTTGGTCGGCATGTCAAAGCATCAAACATGCATTGGCAGAGTTCTTGGTTCGGGGTCGGAGGCAGGCTGGAAGATGCTTGCCAATCGGCGCCAACAGTCGGGCAGGAGGCAGGAGCAGTGTTGGTGGGGGTGTAGTCATTTGCGTTGACACCGGTCGGGTCAATTTTCGCAATCTGAGTGGATAAGGCATTGAAATCGGCCAGCGTGCTCACCGAACCGCCCGAGACAGTGACCAGACCTAACTATCTGTCAGTACGAGTGAAACGAATTGGAGAATAGTCTGCCCTCACCATAGTCATTCGCCTCTTGGAAATACATGTAGACAATGCCGCCTGACCAGACAGGGCTCATTTGAGGGCCATACAACGCTTGAACTTCGGTGAATTTGCGGGGTTGAACAACGTTGCACCCATACTCAGCAAAGAAGACGGGGACGTTGTAGGTCGAGAACTCTTCGGTGCGCTGATCGTAGCCAGACAGGGTGTAGCTGGAGTCGCCGCACCATGAGTAAATATTGTACCCCCAGAAATCAATGGCATCAGTAGGATTTCCGCAGTCGAAGTAGTTGGCGAGATTAACACGAATGTCGGCATCATCATTGGTAGCATAGCCCACCCCTATAGACCGGTAGTTTTGTTGCTTGATGTAGGCCTTCATGTCGCGGACAGCAGCCTTGACGAAGGCGCTGGCATCGGTGTTGGTGTTGTTGTTTGACACCTCGTTTCCCGCGAAGAAACCAAGAGTATTTGTGTATTTTGCCATGTTGTCAATGACGGCGGTATAGCGAGCGTACAGATCATCGTTCCATGTGGGAGAATCACGGTTGATCGAGGTGCCAGGGGACGACAAGTCCGAAATGACATAGATACCGGCGTCTGCAAGCATATTCATGCAATCATCGTGGTTTTGAGTGGGGTCAACTGCGTACACTCGGATTGTGTTGGTGCCCAGTTGGATCAAGTAGGGGATGTCTCGCTGGCATGTCGAAGCGTCAGCCAGAGGGTCGACATAGTTGTCATTACCGCTCGATGTTGTGCCGTTGCCTAGATAATCCTCTTTTCCACTTGTCAATTACAATATTCATCAAGGAGCCGGAGGGTGGGGACGCACGTTGGTAAGCAACGCCTTTGATATAGCTGTTTACCCCATTAGCCAGCGATTAATGGAGCGACAGTCGCATATGTACGCACAATTGTGTCCCATTGGTTTGATAGAAGAATTTAGAGCCCTGGAAAGAAACAAAGAAAAATCAGTGCTGTTCATCCCTCACCGCAGGGGCATGGGTTGGGTGCTATCATACCTTAATGACAATAGGGTCCACATCTGCGTATGCGGCTTTGAGAAAAAGAGCAGCGCCGACGACAGCAGTCGCAACGGCGGAGAAGCCCTTCATGGCGATGCGAATGTGCGAGAAATGTAGTTGACCAGAGAAATGTAGTCCTTCAAGAGCGGGCGCGTGCGCTTAAGAGGTGTGAAGACGGTCTGAAGATACCTGACGGCAAGAATGTTGTTTCCCCAGGAGAGGAGGGGGATGGTGATACAGTAACGAGCTGTCACTGCCCAACAAGCAGGCAGGAACGAAGGACAACAATGTTAGAGATATGGAAAAGAATGTCACGAAGGGGAAGAGAAAGGCGAAAAGCAACGAAAGTGAGAAAAAGGGTGCGAAAGGGTAACAAAGAACTATGTGCACGCAAAGTACGAAGTACAGGAGCAATTGAGGACGACGGTGAGTTCAGATCAAAGGGGGAAGCGATTTCAAGGGATGAGAGGTGTCCTGGTGTCTCCCTCCGCTCAATCCATGCATGGGGTTTGGTGTGCTTTGGGAGTGGACACAACCGAACCAACAGCACCGCAGTGCGAGGTACCGTCCGCACAGCCCCGGGGTTCACCATCTGCCCCCCTTTACCCCCTACTTCAGGCGCCACGAGCCACTGAACCACTGACCGGAAGTCCCAGATTCAGTTCTCACAGGCACCGCCCACGTTTCTTTCCGGGGCACTGGCGGACGACTTGTGCGCACTCCCGTCGGCACATCAGCACCTACTCGGGGCAACCCAACAGCACCCGTTGAGGCACCCCAGGCTCGTCTGTCGTCAATTGGTCCTCGGACTTGTAGCAGATCGGGTTTCGATGGTGCATTGCCGCCATTGCCGGCGCAACACCAACACAATCGACACGCGTCCCTTCTCCATTGAGCTATGATGGTAGGTATTGATTCGTCGAGGTTGTGGACTGCAGCTACACCAGCTATGGACGGAGTACACATGTACATATACTCGTCGTCCGTCGCATCCTTGGTGATGCCGAGCAGCTCATGATCATCGACGCGGTCGAGGAACAAGCCGCAGACTATTCCCAGAGACGCGACAGGGAGGAGAGAGAATCACGTACGAGGTACTCCGAGTTTAAAAAAGAATTATCCTGGGTGAGCCCTTGCCATCCTGCCACCTGGGGGACTCCTGACCACAAACATCCTCCCTTGACATTGTCCTCTTGTCGATATCTTCCTACGGCTATCCTCCATCCTGTATTTCCAGTCCAGCTCCGTGCAAGAAATCGGCGATTTGCCACAGAGATTTGTAACAAATGGTGGTCGAGAATGTGGAGGAAAGTCTCTGCATGTCTCACGGCTTGATCACCCTGGGCATCCTTCTAAAGCTCCAACAAGCACAGCTGTGTCTCGGCCTTGAACCAATTTTGAGCTAATGATGACCCTGACATGCCCACTCAGCTCTCCGCACAGTGGCTCCAATTTGCCCAGGGCGAAATTGGATTTGTCTGGGTTACTGGGCAAGGTGAGACAGTCGATTGGAGGACGGCCCCTTTTTCCACCTCATTGTATCCAATGGCCCAGGGGTGTTGCACGCCCGACACGATCCTACTCTATCTGCCATCTAGCCCCTGGGATATGACGACTTCTGGGATTCCATGAGACCATGACGGGTTGGTCCACAGGAAATAGCAATTCGCCACTATAGGCCGTTCCCGCACCTAAGTATTGTTCCTAGCAAAGCTTGTTTCACCTGAGGCTCCAAAGACTAGACACTAAATGCCGTGTTTGAGGTGGGCAAAATCAGGGTTTGCATCAGGAACAGGGTCGAGAGTGCTTGTACTTACAGTATTTATGTAGAGCGCGTGCTGAATCTGGACGATTTCCAGAGCATCGTGGGTCCAGAGGATGCACCCGCACGGAATTGGCGAAAGAAGCCTTGATAAGACATGCTGGAGCTGGATGGTCAAGATTGACTTGAAAGAATTCTTCATCGGGAAATGCAAGCAATCCACGCGGCGTCAATGGCTGCCGATCCGATATCAAATAGATCCACAAAATCAATCACCTTGACTTTATTGGCGTCAAGCCACAGAAGCCACAATGGGATCATGGAAGAAAAAGAATAACTTTTCGAATGCTGCTCATTATTCACGGGATGTCTGGAAACAACATGAGGCAGACACGGGTTACTTCACAATCGCATTTTGCAGACTACACAGGCCTTCTGCGAGGGTTGCAAAAGACCTCACTAGAAAGCCACCAGGTAGATACTGCTTGCTCCTCCACATGTTCGGGCATACCAAGTACAGGCTACGGAGCGCTACACAGCGCACCAGGTAAGGCTACTAGGCTTACCTAGGTATTACCTATGAAAGTAGATCATGGTGCCTCCATACTCCGTCCCTACTGTAGGTATCAAGTACATCCCGGAGTACATACAAGTATCTCCAAGAGTCAGGCACCGGCGTCCGGAGTCAGTGAGGCCGTTTTACGCGGAGGATATCTGCGCCCGAAGAGAGGCGTGGATCGTCCTTCGGATGTCTTTGTCAGCTGCATGATTTGTGCTCATCACCCACGCAGCTTATCGTTCTGACCTTCAGAACAGTGGGAGGCAGAAATGTAGGGCCTTGTCGTGCATCCGAATAATAATGTGGAGGAGGATACCGGTACCACAGTCCGTCCAGTGCTTCCACTGCCAGAAGGCCCACAAATACATGCAGATTTTCTGCCAACAAAATTGTCCGAGACGCAGCTGAGATCTGCAATGTAAAAAAACCTCCACGATATGAAACAAGGGTTGTGTGACCCGCGAGCCCGGGCACTGTTTCTGCCAACGAGACAGAGAGAGCTTCATCCCTGATGCCTATGCAGTATTTGATCACAAACTGTCTTGTGGGGCGATGAATCTGGTGGCAGGTTGTTGAGGATGAGGGCAAACCCCGTGTTCGGCACAGTCAAGGCAATTAAAGCATCTACATAACGTAGGGCTCGATCTTGCCGCACTCTTACGCATAGCCACAATCCCAGCCACGGATTAGCTCGACGGTTGTGCCAGAGATAGCAGTCGAGCTGCAGCAAGACGGGAAGCGTGTCCGTAGCGCAATAAGCGACGTAGGTCAAGTGGAGACGTAGATGACGCTCTTGATGTGTCGCAATCAAGAAGAGAGGAGCGAATTGCAGGGAACCGGAAAACTCGCAGAATCCTTTATCAAGAGTTAGTCTCTGACTGGCAACTGCAATGACCAGAGTAGCCAGCAATACCAGTGGATGTGCAAAAAGCCGGGCATCGAGACAGACAAAGCATCAAGTGAGAGTGTGGCGTTTGTTGGCTGTTCATGGGCCTTGGCTCAGATTTGCCCAGTGCCTAGCCCACCAGCCCCCCCTTGTTCCTTGTTTGTTGTTCCCTGCCCCCTTGTCGGCGACCGGGGTACGTGGGTGACAGTTAAGCCTCAATTGCCCTCACCTGTTTGCTGCTGTTGGCCATCCCCTGCCGGGCCGAAATCACAATCTGGAGACCACACCCACTACACCATCCACCCGGCAAATCCCAAAGGCCGCCTGAATCTCTGGCCCACTAGCCTGTGCACGCCCATGCCACAAGCAGCCGGTGGCCCCTAATCCTAATCCCGAAACACGCACGACCTGAGCGACTCCAGTCTGGCCACCTCCCCTCCAATCCTGCTCCATCCCTGGTCCTGCAGAGCCCAGCTCCAGCTCCCTTTGTCGTTCCATTATTCAACTCACCAGCCTCGCACCTTGGTCCACCTGTCAATATTCTACTACTTCTTACTGTCGTTTTTCTTCCTTGTTAGCCTCCTTCACTCGCTTCAGTCGCTGCGGGAAAGAAGGCAGGAACGACGAGGACTGGTTACCCTAGCCTTGGGAAAGAGCACATTGTCAGCTCGGATTCCGTAAAATACGGGCGACGCCTGTCTGCACAACGCGCCTCTGCTGCACATTGGCTGAGCAACCAACGCACCTCCCCCTTTCGTTTCACAGCAACACCACCATCACTCACTTCACCTACAGCCATTCCCTCCATCCACCTTTCGCCTGCGCTCTCGACGCTTGAACTAGCTGGCCTATGTAGGACTGTCTTGTTGGAATTCATAAAGAAACAGAGAGACAGCCCGCAGAGTGGTTTCCATCATTTCGCTGCGCCGCTTACCCCTTATCCGACGTTCACTGCTTATACCTGGATCACGCTTAATATTACCACACCGCAAGTGCACGGAATCAGCCTTTTTGCGTGTAACGCATCTCTAAATTCGGGGACATTTTTCATGGGACTACCTTGAAGTGAGTTGAATAAAGTTCGACCCTGCGGTTTTCTCTCGTGCAAACATGACAATTGCTTCATTCAGCTGGCCGCTTGTTAACCTATGACGTGCTCTAGGAATCATACCCAAAATGTCAGGCCACCCTCAACAGGGCGACTACGATGATGGCTACGGCCAGCATCATCCAAATGACGGCTATTACCAGGAGGACCAACACGGTTACCATGACCAGTATGACTATGGTCACCAACAACACGGAGGTGAAGGCTATTATGATGAATCGTAAGAAATATGCGTCTCCGATGTTTCCACTGGCCGACTGACTCACTTAGGGGCTACTACAACGCCGATGCATCCAATCCCTACCACAACGATGGTGGCTACTACGAGGGTCATCAGGGGTATCAGGATGACTACTATGACGGCCAGTACTACGACCAGGGAGCTGCCGGACAGCAATACAACCAGGGACAACGCCCGAGACGCCGCGGTCATGATTCTGAGGAGGACTCTGAAACATTCAGTGACTTCACAATGAGATCAGATATGGCTCGTGCCGCTGAAATGGACTACTACGGCCGAGGAGATGAGCGCTATAATAGCGGCTATGACGGTCAGGGTGGACGCGGATACCGACCTCCATCTTCTCAAATATCCTACGGCGGTAACAGATCCTCCGGTGCCTCGACTCCCATCTATGGGATGGACTACAACAATGCCCTACCGGCTGGCCAACGTTCTCGGGAGCCTTACCCAGCCTGGACCTCTGATGCTCAGATCCCACTCTCGAAAGAGGAGGTGGAAGACATATTTTTGGATTTGACGGCCAAATTCGGATTCCAACGCGATAGCATGCGCAATATGTACGACCACATGATGACATTGTTGGATTCTCGAGCTTCAAGGATGACTCCGAATCAGGCTTTATTGTCCCTCCACGCAGATTACATTGGAGGCGACAATGCCAACTATCGCCGGTGGTATTTCGCCGCCCACCTTGATCTCGATGACGCCGTTGGCTTTGCCAACATGAAGCTCGGAAAGGCAAATCGTAGGACAAGAAAAGCCAGAAAAGCTGCGGCGAAAAAGGCAAAGGAAAATCCCCAAAATGAGGAGGCGACGCTCGAAGCATTGGAAGGGGACAACTCTCTGGAAGCCGCTGAATATCGCTGGAAGACTCGCATGAACAAGATGTCTCAGCATGATCGTGCCCGCCAGATCGCACTCTACCTGCTTTGCTGGGGTGAAGCTAACCAAGTTCGTTTCATGCCCGAAGCTCTCTGCTTCATCTTCAAATGTGCAGACGACTACTTGCACTCTCCCGCTTGCCAGAATCGTGTCGAACCGGTCGAAGAGTTCACCTACTTGAACAATGTCATCACCCCTCTTTATACCTACATCCGTGACCAAGCCTACGAGATTATCGACGGCAAGTATGTGCGCCGGGAGAAGGATCACAACAAGGTCATTGGGTACGACGACATCAACCAGCTGTTCTGGTATCCTGAAGGAATTGAGAGAATCGTCATGAACGACAAGTCGCGCATTGTTGATCTTCCACCAGCGGAGAGGTACCTCAAACTAGGCGAGGTCAACTGGAAGAAGGTCTTCTTCAAGACCTACAAGGAAACCAGGTCCTGGTTCCACCTAATTGTCAACTTCAACCGAATTTGGGTCATCCATCTTACTACTTTCTGGTTCTACACGGCTTTCAACTCCCCAACGCTGTACACTAAGAATTACCAGCAACAACTGAACAACAAGCCTCACGCTGCTGCCCAATGGTCTGCCGTGGCTTTGGGTGGCACAATCGCGACGCTGATCAACATCCTGGCTACCCTCATTGAGTGGTCGTACGTTCCGCGGAAATGGGCTGGTGCTCAGCACTTGACCAAGCGACTTCTCTTCTTGATCGGCGTCTTCATCCTTAACATTGCACCCAGTGTCTACATCTTCGGCTTCACTCAGACATCGAAGATTTCTCTGATTTTGGGTGTGGTTCAATTCCTCGTTGCCTTGGCCACGTTCTTCTTCTTCTCAATCATGCCTTTGGGTGGGTTGTTTGGAAGCTACCTGACCGGAAACAGTCGTCGCTATGTCGCCAGTCAGACTTTCACTGCTTCGTACCCTCGTCTCAAGGGTAACGACATGTGGATGTCTTTCGGTCTGTGGATCATGGTCTTCGCTGCCAAATTGGCTGAATCGTACTTCTTCCTGACTCTGTCGTTCAGAGACCCGATTAAGATTCTATCCTACACCAAAATCCGCAATTGTCAGGGAGACAAGATTCTGAAAGATTACCTCTGCAAGTACCAGCCTCAGATCTTGCTCGGTATCATGTTCTTCACCGACCTGATTCTGTTCTTCTTGGATACCTATTTGTGGTACATCATCTGGAACTGCGTCTTCTCGGTCGCTCGATCGTTCTACCTAGGTGTCTCGATCTGGACGCCCTGGCGAAACATTTTCTCTCGCTTGCCGAAGCGAATTTACTCCAAAGTTTTGGCCACGACGGATATGGAAATCAAGTACAAGCCGAAGGTTCTTATCTCACAAGTCTGGAACGCAATCGTCATCTCCATGTACAGAGAACATCTTCTGGCCATCGACCACGTCCAGAAGCTCCTCTACCATCAAGTGCCTTCGGAGCAGGAGGGCAAGCGTACGCTTCGTGCGCCAACGTTCTTTGTTTCCCAGGAAGATCATTCGTTCAAGACCGAATTTTTCCCGTCCCAGAGCGAAGCCGAGCGTCGTATCTCCTTCTTTGCCCAGTCTCTGTCTACACCTATCCCCGAACCTCTTCCGGTTGACAACATGCCAACTTTCACAGTCCTTATCCCTCACTATGGAGAGAAGATTCTGTTGTCTTTGCGAGAAATCATCCGTGAGGATGAACCTTATTCCCGTGTCACTCTTCTAGAGTACCTCAAACAGCTCCACCCTCATGAATGGGACTGCTTCGTTAAAGACACCAAGATTCTCGCGGATGAGACATCTCAGTTCAATGGCGACTATGAAAAGTCGGAGAAAGACACAGCAAAGAGCAAGATTGATGATCTTCCTTTCTACTGCATCGGGTTCAAGTCTGCGGCTCCAGAATATACTTTGCGAACTCGAATCTGGGCCTCGCTCCGGTCTCAAACACTGTATCGCACAATTTCTGGATTCATGAACTACAGCCGAGCTATCAAGCTCTTGTATCGCGTTGAAAACCCTGAAGTTGTGCAAATGTTCGGCGGCAACTCTGACAAGCTGGAGCGTGAACTCGAGCGCATGGCTAGACGCAAATTCAAGATCGTGGTTTCCATGCAGCGGTATGCCAAGTTCAAGAAAGAGGAACGTGAAAACACCGAATTCTTGCTCCGTGCTTATCCAGACCTTCAAATCGCCTATCTGGATGAGGAGCCACCGCAGAACGAAGGAGAGGAACCTCGTTTGTACTCTGCTCTGATCGATGGCCATTCGGAACTTCTTGAGAATGGAATGCGGCGACCGAAGTTCAGAATCCAACTTTCCGGCAACCCTATTCTCGGAGACGGCAAGTCCGACAACCAGAATCATGCGATCATCTTCTATCGTGGTGAATACATTCAGCTTATTGACGCCAATCAAGACAACTACTTGGAAGAATGCCTGAAAATCCGAAGTGTTTTAGCTGAGTTCGAGGAGATGACGACGGATAATGTCTCGCCGTACACTCCTGGACTCCCTCCGACAAAGACCAACCCTGTTGCCATCCTCGGTGCTCGCGAGTACATTTTCTCTGAGAACATTGGCGTGCTTGGCGACGTGGCTGCTGGCAAGGAGCAAACATTCGGCACTCTTTTCGCTCGTACCTTGGCTCAAATCGGTGGCAAGCTTCATTATGGTCACCCCGATTTCCTCAACGGAGTCTTTATGACAACTCGAGGTGGTGTCTCCAAGGCTCAGAAAGGGCTCCACCTTAACGAAGATATCTACGCTGGAATGAATGCTCTTATCCGTGGCGGCCGCATCAAACATTGCGAATACTACCAGTGTGGAAAGGGTCGTGATCTTGGTTTTGGCTCCATTCTCAACTTCACGACTAAGATCGGCACTGGTATGGGTGAACAAATGTTGTCCCGAGAGTACTACTATCTCGGTACTCAGTTGCCCTTGGACCGCTTCCTGTCTTTCTACTATGCCCATCCTGGTTTCCACATCAACAACATGTTCATCATGTTGTCCGTGCAGCTCTTCATGATTGTGTTGATCAACCTGGGTGCCCTGAGACACGAGACCATCATCTGTTTCTACAACCGAAATGTTCCACCAACGGATCCTCTCAAACCTACCGGGTGCACGAACTTGACGCCTATTATGGAATGGGTTGAGCGTTGCGTTGTCTCGATCTTTATCGTCTTCTTCATCTCCTTCGTACCCTTGGTGGTTCAGGAATTGACTGAGCGTGGGTTTTGGCGCGCTGCTACTCGTTTGGCTAAGCACTTTGCATCCGCCTCTCCTATATTTGAGGTGTTTGTGTGCCAAATCTATGCGAGCTCGATTCAGCAGGATCTTTCCTTTGGTGGCGCTCGATACATCGGTACAGGTCGTGGCTTTGCGACAGCACGTATCCCATTCGGAGTTCTCTACTCTCGCTTTGCTGGTCCGTCAATTTACCTCGGAGCTCGGTCGTTGATGATGTTGCTCTTTGGCACGATCACCGTTTGGGGTGCCTGGCTCCTGTGGTTCTGGGTCTCCCTGCTCGGCCTCTGCATCTCGCCTTTCATTTTCAACCCCCATCAGTTCGCCTGGAACGATTTCTTCATCGACTACAGGGACTATCTCAGGTGGTTGTCTCGGGGCAACTCGCGGTCCCATGCTTCATCTTGGATTGCCTTCTGCCGACTGTCACGTACTCGGCTTACGGGATACAAGCGCAAGGCTCTCGGAGTTCCATCTGAGAAACTCTCTGGCGACGTTCCTCGTGCTAATTTCACGAGTGTCTTCTTCAGCGAAGTTGTCGGACCTCTGGTGCTTGTTTGCTTTACGCTGATCCCTTACCTCTTCATCAACGCCCAGACCGGAGTAACGACCGATGTCAAGCCGCCCACAAACTCTCTGGTGAGAGTGGCGATTGTTGCTTTTGCCCCCATTGCCATTAACGCTGGCGTGTTGGCTGGCTTGTTCGGCATGGCTTGCTGCATGGGTCCTGTTTTGAGCATGTGCTGCAAGAAATTCGGTTCGGTCCTTGCCGCCATTGCGCACGGCGTCGCTGTCATTATGCTCTTTGCGTTCTGGGAAGTCATGTTCTTCCTCGAGGGATGGATTTTCGCTAAGGCACTCTTGGGCATGATTGCTGTGGTGGCTCTCCAACGCTTCGTCTTCAAGCTGATCATCGCCCTCTGCCTGACGAGAGAGTTCAAACACGATACTTCCAACATTGCCTGGTGGACTGGCAAATGGTACTCGATGGGTTGGCACTCGATGTCCCAACCTGCACGAGAATACCTTTGCAAGATCACTGAGCTAGGCTTCTTCGCCGCGGACTTTATCCTGGGCCACATCATCATGTTCATCATGTTGCCCGCTCTCTGCGTCCCTTACATTGACAAATTCCACTCGGTCATGCTATTCTGGTTGCGCCCTAGGTATGTTACCCCGACCCCTTCTTCTAGTTCTCTGGTTGCAATACTAACACTTTTGTAGCCGTCAAATTCGACCCCCCATCTATTCAATCAAACAGTCTCGTCTCCGAAAACGGCGCGTCATTCGTTACGCTATTTTATATTTCTTTATGCTTGTCGTTTTCCTTGTGCTCATCATTGGGCCTATCATTGTCCGAAAATACATCACTGGCCTACCGACCATTCCTCTTGACCTCGTTCAACCCACTGGACAGAACAATAACGATACCACCACAGGTGTCACCGGTTCTGCTCTGGTCAACTTTGGTCAAGACGCTGGAACTGCTGCTGCTACCGCCGCTGCCACAAGCAGCAACTCCAACGACCCCTTCAGCTTTGGCGGAGGTGGTGGACGATTCGTCCGATGGTAGAGCTGTTTCTCGCCACAACCTCGAGGATATCGTTGTGTGTCTATACATTGCTCCATACGGAAAGGAGGGGAAACAAGTGCATGTTCGACAATATGACCCTCTAATGAGTTTAAAATTCTCTTGTCGGCCATTGATCCGAACAAATTAATGATTGAAATGGCATAGACAAGCGGCCTTTGCATAGGTGCTTTCTTCAGCTGGTTTTTTGATCCCGGCAATATTTGGGTCGTGGACAGGGGCGTTGCAGGCGGCCGGGTTAAACTTTTGTTTGCTTAGAGATATTGCACTGTACATGAGAGTAAAAATGAAATGGCATACAATTCGATTCAGTCCGATTCGAGACCTTTTCCGACCTGCCGGGGGGCCCGATGGAAAAGGGCGGTTCGTGAGTTGTTGGCGAAGTGGTGAGCGGCGACTGCCGGAAATTTGATCTGCCCCTGATTTCCTGTCTTCATCACGTGACGTGCCGCATTGAGCCCTTTTGACCCTTTCGCAGGCAACGCGGGCTGCGCAGGCTGTGACATTGTCAACCCTCTGCAAACTCTCGATTTTAAGTAACGCCGTGGCTGCCGCATTCCTGTTTCTACTTCGTTTCAGGGGAGGCTGTTAACACCCAGCGTTGGTGCAAAGATGGACCCTTATGACGCTCAAGAATATCTCACGAACCTCGCCAACACCGCGGCCGAACAGTTTCAAAAAATCCCCGGATCGGCCATCTTTCTCCGCTATGTGAAGTCCAGTTACCAGAACGACCCGATCCGGTCTGCCGTCGAACTCTTCCTTGTGCTGTTCGCAATCCGGTATCTTCTGGCTCCGAAGTATTCAACGAAGCAGAATTTTGTGAAATTGTCGGACGAGGTGGGCATATTGTCGGGGAAACTGGAGGGCGAACCTTGAAGCGCTGACCGCGAACCCAGGAGATCGATGACCTGGTGGATGAATGGACGCCAGAGCCTTTGGTTGGAAAGACCACATCCTTTGAAGATGCTGAACTGGAGAGGCGTCCCGTCATTGTCGGGTCAGTCTACCTTGAAATGCATTGTAGAAGACCTACTGACTGTGGAGCGACAGCCCGAGCGGGCCGCGGTCCAAATTGACCAACGGCCGAACGGTGATAAATCTGGCCTCGTATAACTTCTACAACTTTGTCTCGAACGAGAATCTGAAAGAGCGTGCGATTCAGACATTGCGGACTTATGGAGTCGGTCCCTGCGGCCCGCCCGGTTTCTACGGCACCCAAGACGTGCACATGAAGATCGAGGCGGACATTGCGGCCTTCCTTGGTACCACGGCATGCATCATCTATGCTCAAGCATTCTCCACCATATCCAGTGTCATTCCCGCTTTCTCAAAGAGGGGGGATATCATTGTTGCCGATAAAGCAGTGAATTATGCCATCCGAAAGGGAATACAGATTTCTAGGAGTGCAGTCAGATGGTATGAACATAATGACATGGAGGACTTGCAGAGGGTGCTCGCAAAGGTTACCAAAGAACAGGCCAAGAAGCCGTTAACGAGACGGTTCATCATCACCGAGGGGTTGTTCGAAAACGTCGGCGATATGGTCGATTTGCCAAAGATTGTGAGTTGCGGCCTTGGAACCACTCTTGGGGCCGACGAACGTTCTAATTGTGATTGTACAGATTGAGTTGAAGCTCAAATACAAGTTCCGACTGATTCTCGATGAGACGTGGTCGTTTGGCGTCTTAGGCAGAACTGGTCGAGGCGTGACAGAACACCAACACGTTGACGCAGCAGAGGTCGACATGATTGTCGGCTCTATGGCAGGACCTTTATCGGCCGCAGGAGGCTTCTGTGCTGGTTCAGACGAAGTTGTGGAGCACCAGCGATTATCCGCGGCCTCGTATACCTTCTCGGCGGCACTACCAGCCATGTCTGCTGTGACGGCAAGCGAGACATTGATGATGTTGCAGACTCAGCCAGACCTGTTTATTCAATTGAAGGAGAACATCAGGGCTATGTGGCAACAACTCGACCCGAGAAGCGACTGGATGTACTGTACCAGTACACCGGAGAATCCAATCATGATGCTAGTGCTGAAGCCGGAGGTGGTATCGTCGCGGAGGTTGACGATCGAGGACCAACAGCAGTTGCTGCAGGATATTGTAGATGAGGTGAGCCACCCATGAATATCTTGGTGTCCCCGTCGATTCAGGCCTAAACTGACGGTTTCAATGTAGTGCCTGTCACAAAACGTCCTTATCACCCGTGTCAAGACACTCCCCGCCAGCCCCTCGGGTGCCAAAAGTGACATTTACACCCCTTCCCCAGCTCTCAAAGTCTGTTTAACAGTTGGCTTGACCAAAAAAGAAATCGAGAAGGCGGGCATCACGATTCGGCACGCGATCACGAAGATCCTCACGCGGAAACGGTGAATTGGACCAGCACGCTTGTTTTCGCCCTTGGTCGACTGAAGGCTCTGGGTCTCCGACATTTGTACACCACTGTTTATTTTACTTTCGTCCCGAGTTCGGCAGGGCAGCAACTAGAATTTTGTAATAGCAGCGGTATGATGAGCGGCGTGGACAATTCTTTTCTAGGGGATCCGGCCTCTCTGGCACAACGGCATGAAAATTCACATAGGACGCAACTAATAATGACGACCACCATCCAACCAATGTTCTCTCAGACGGTTTGATTTGATCTAAGCCTTTGAGGAAACAAGGCTCTGACTGTAAGCCTTGACGGTGCAAAGTAGGAGTTCCAGGGAGGCCCCTGTACGCTTCGCTTCAACTCGCTAAAATGTTACACTGAGAGTGTCACCAAGCGAGAAGGAAGCGAAGACTGGGTTGGGCAGCCACTCAGGACAGGACGTAAGCGAGAGACAGCCGGGCAAATTCGCTTGTTGAAGCAATATAGGAAGATGGAGATGGAGCTCATGTGTTTTGCTGGAAGAGTCGAGGGAAGATGGATGGCCTACAGAGAACTGAGTACATGCTGGAGGTACGAGGTGCTCTGTATGTAGACAGGTACGTCCCCCACTACCCTGGTTCCCAGCGGGCCAGGGAGCGGTAAGCGATAAGATTCACCTCTCCTTCATGTTTATTGTCTACTGGATGGTACGTCAATACAAAGTATCTCTGCTCACCATCCTTGAACCAACTTCTATCTCCGTCTCCGCCGCCCGTCCCATTCCTTTTCCCATCCCCCCATCCCATCTCCATCACGAGCCGGACTACACAGGGCAAGACAAGGGGAGCATGTGGCTCCAACGCTTGCGAGCTGAACGGGCCTCTGACGCCCCTCCGCACCGTCCAGTCCTTGGCTCGTTGTGTCTATGGCCCGCTTTCAGAACGCCTGCGATAGACGGTTAGTATGGCGCCCCATGGCGGGGCATAGCGGGCTCGGGTTGTCCTCTCAAAGAGCCTCGCTTACGAACGGTTTCCTTTCTGTTGGCAGCGGGAGAATTGCTCACCACGTTCATTCTATACCTGTTCCTATCATCTGAAAGTCGAATGAGCTTGGAGACGACGCCTCCAAGCTGTCCACATGCCCTGATGCTATGGATGTTGGGCTGAGCGGCTGAATCTAGAGCTCTGTACAGACGACTTGAGCTGAATGACTTTGCATTCGCGCCTGTGGTCAATGGAAGTTGACTTTTCAGAACTGAGTGTTCACAGACCAGACCGTCTCTTCCGCGACTATATAGTCCTGCCTTACGCTGGTCTCAAGGTCAGTCCTACTCTTCTCCCCAACAGAGAGCCCCCAGAGCCTCCCGATTCTCGTAGCACACAGGTTACTGTGTCTGCTTTGGACTGTAGAAGAACATATTCACCATCCTTGCAGTCAACATGTCTTACCCAACTAAGCCTGCTTTCGTTCACGTTGGAACTTGGGACGATGAGACTCGCAAGCATCCTGCAATGAAGTGGATGGAAGAATATACAATCAACTTCAACAAGCGCGGAGACTGGGGTCAAGAAGAATGTGACTGGGTGAGTTCCTCGTGGGAAACCCTCTACAACAATGATTTGCCAGAGGCCGTTGTACGACTCCAGCTCCTCGACCGCTGACACAGAGGTTGCAGTTCTCTGCTGATTTCACGCTCGTCAAACCCGACGGCTCAGTCCACAGCGGCAATGCACCAGCATTCCAAGAAGCCATTGGCATGTACACTCCTTTTACCGAAGAATTCCACGAGCCTTATTTTCTTGTCTGCTTCGACACGGACGATGGCTGGGAGATGATCGGCCAGGCCCACCTGTTCGCCAACTGCCAGGGGCAACCAACCGCGCAGGAGAAGAAGGTCAAGGACCTGCAGGGGAGGGAATGGGATGTCAAGATCCCAGGAGGGTTTCACTTCACCTATGTGAAGCAACAAGGGGCGCCTCACGATGGTATTATGTTGAAGAGGACGGAAATCATGAGTGATTCGATGCCCGCGGTGCAGATCCTCGTGGCAAGAGGAGTCCTCAAGATGTGAGCTGGCCAAGCTGGACTCTAAGCCAACTATTTGCCAAGGAGAACAGGCACGAACAGCAAGTATCAGTTAATAGTACGCACTGGGGCTAAACTGAAAGCATTCCGAATCTCCCCACATCGTCTCTTCTCCCGCCGACATCATGGTCGGAGACACAAAGCCCGGAAGAGGTCGACGGGATTTAAGCTGCCGCAGCATATGCCTGCCGTCTGCCTAGATTTTAGGAAATGAATGTCTGGCGAAATACTCCTAGCACCAGATCAACCTCGCCGTTGCCGGGGGCAAAGACATGCCCCATACTTCTACAAGGCTGTTAAAGCAGCGAGAGAAGGCGTGGCTGTGCCAACAACGGTCCCTGTTCATCTTTGCATCTTTGGGAGCCGATACCTAGCAACATGGGATAATACCCCAATGACTATCTATCCTGATCCATCAGTAGGACGCTCGGATTCCTGTGGGAGCCTTGAGGCCCAGCTGGTATTAATATCCACCAATATCGCATCTGCACCTCCCTCACCCGTATTTGATCGTCCAATATAGGATCCCTTGGATCCACCTCACATCAGATCCAACTGCGGCTAGCCGGGAACGCAGCTTTCCTTGTGTACACAGTCTCAATCGCCTCTGCATCATAGTGAGCCCAGTGTCGCATAGCGGGAAATTGTCGTTGGCGTTGCCCCTGTCTCTCTCCTTCTCGGCAGCTACGAGGAACGGCAGTGGTTCGTTGAAGCGACCAGAAATGTTCTCTGGGGCTGTTCAACAGATGTCGGAGCTGTCGTCCTTATTCGCGCCGACATCAGTCACCTCGCTTGCAGGAACCACTCCGCGAAAAGGCATATCTCGGTTATAATTGAGATGACCCTAATGTTGTCTGAGGCCCCAACGGACTGATTGACCATTTAGAGATTGCGGTAAGCTATGGTACTCAGAATATATCCGGCTCTCCAGCATCGGTGAGAGATGTCGGTCTGTTCCAGGACCCTGTCACTCGCGAATAGGATGCCAGCCAGGTTCGAGGTCCGTCAAAGGTAGGGTGGCTGAGCCACCTTCCTCTGGTACAGGCTACAGGGTATGAGGACTCACTGCAGCACCAAGGTAATGTACGGAGTACCTCTGCAGCACACTCGAGAGAATGTTGACGGGGGCGCAAGCTCGGAAAGTAGTGTCTATAAGGACTCAGCTTGGTCCGCAATCCTCGAACAATGCCCTCAACCGTCTCTCCGTCCACTCACTCGGGTAGCAGATTTCCTTTACGGCTTTCATTAGGTTTCATTTTCGTCCTGGGGTTTCTTTTCACATTCCCTTGCATTCATCCTGTCCAACGAGCATCATGAAGACCGCAATCATTGCCGCGGCCCTTTTCTCTGGCATCGTAATCGCAAAGGGAAGCGGGAATTATGGCGCTAGCTACCCGCCGTATGCCTCGAAGAACTGCCCATTCATCCCTTCGGCCGACCAATTCGTTCTCTTCGCCGATAACATCCAGACAGTCTCACAAGTCAGCCCTGACAAGGCCATTCTGAGGTCGCAAGATCTCTACGTCGAGACCGCTAACGATTTGGCCACGGCCTCTCAATTTACCATACCGGACTTTGCTATTGGCGCCAACTGCTCCTTGAATCTGGCCGTCCCAAGCCCCGACCAGATATATGGTGACCTCGACCAGACTATCTTCAGTGGCGGTGGAAAGTCAGTGAAAATCAATCTGCTTGCCTTGTTGTCCCGTCCATTGGAAGGATGGCGGGGTCTTTCCCCCATACTCAACCCCTCCCCGGGTCGCTGGTCTCGTGGAATCATCGCTAACGTTTGATGTCAAATGTAGCTTGAACTTTTCTCGACTGGAGAACGACCTCCCGAGCACTGGCTGTATGTGAATCCCTCCCCTCTGCGGGATATTACCCACGTCGCTGGGGGTTGTCGCTGGGGTTCTGCAGCACCAGCTTCGAAACCTTACCATTCTTGATGAAGACTGACATATTTTCTCCAACAGTAACGTTCAATACTCTCGGTGGCATTCAGAACGCCGGCGTCATGAAAGTGACGCCGGGGAAGTTGCTCACCGTTGCGCCCAGCTTCCCGTGCCCACCTCCTGGCACAGTGCTCCCGGGAATTATCCAATCCGTCGACGCCACCCTCGTCGTGCGCGACACTGTGGGACCAGTTTGCCTCTCTGGTCTTTTCGTCTTGATTGGGCCTGTCGGGAACCCACCTTCCAGCCCAGCCCCTCCGGACACGAGCGCATACGGAACTACCAGCTCCACGGGGGGCCACACAGGCACCTACAGCACCTACAGTGTTGCCGCAACTTACAGCAGCAAGTGGTCGGCTTGAGGGGTTAAGAAATCGAGGCGGGGTGAATAAAGGCAATCGCAAAGAGAAAATAGACACGGAAGTGGTTGGATGGGCAATCTCGTCACTACTTCACATTTACAAGAATGTGGCGGGTTTCGAATATCGTGCATTTGTTGCTGGTTCTTCATTCGCGAGGGGCGATGGTAATTTCTCTCGCTCGGTCCGAGCTGGGCGTGGGGATATACTTGTTCCTTTATACGATCCCATGGGCAATGGAACAGTAATAAGTAGTTACTTCAAGACTTGCTTGACTCGACCCATCCCCGAGGTTCTGTAAGGCTGAGCGACGAGGCTGAGAAGTCACGGGGCACGGGCTATGAGGTCACTCCTCCCGTGCCCTCCAACGCGTGCCCCTGCTGTTTCAGCCCACTTGGGCTCCCGCCGATCCTCAATCCTACGCTGCCGCAGTCTTGACTTGCTGCGTCTTACTGAAATCAACCCTCGACTGTGTCTCTTTGACTCATCGGCCAGAGCGCAGAACCTCCCCTTTGTCATGCGGGGGATCCTGCGTCCTCAGTCATTATGGCGCACTTCCTTCGCGGCAAGCAGGCCGGCATTCAGAATGATCTCTCTGTCGGTGTTACTCCAGAATCCTTCATGCTAGACGACGTACGTACGCCTGCCCTCTGGTTACAACTCTCTCCGGGAGACTGACAATACCCAAGTTTGCTCGCTATGGTATTAATTCCCAGATCTCTGTGCTCGCCTATGACCCGGTCCAGTCTCTCCTCGCTGTCGGCACCAATGAATCTCAATTCGGTCCGGGTCTGGTCTATGTCTTCGGCCAGAAGCGAGTCTGCGTGACCTTTACTCCTCCCCGACCATCGTCTATTCGAGTCATCCAATTCTGCGCCGACAAGCTCATTGTGCTCGACAGCAAGAACGATGTCAGTGTCTTCAGCCTTGACACGAGGCGTACGCTGGCCAACTATTCCCCTCCCGGTCAGGTCGTTACTATCCTCTCAGACCCCAGTCTAGACTACTGTTTCTCGGGGCTGCAAAGTGGTGGGTGAATAGAATGACAATGGATTGAAAGAGAAGCATCGCTGACATGCTTTGGCAGGGGAAATTGTGGCATTTGACCTGGACCGAGAGAATCAAACACCCTTCAAAATCCCCAACCTATGGCGTGAACGAAACCCCCGAGTACGGATTCTCCCAATCGTCTCGATGCAGTTCCATCCCAAGGACATAGGCACATTGCTTATCGGCTATTCCGAAGGTGCCGTCATCTACTCTTTCAAACAAAACAAGGCAACCAAGTTCTTCCACTACGAGCTTCCGCCAGGAGCTCGAGGAGGAGACGGAGATCCCACAAACGGCAACTCCGTACGGCATCCTCGATTGACACATGCAATTTGGCATCCGACCGGCACCTTCGTGTTGACGGCCCATGATGACTCAAGCTTGGTATTCTGGGACCCACGAGATGGCAGGGTTATTCACGCAAGGACACTCGAAGACACAGACGTCAACGTGCCCGGTGCTGGACCGCCGAGAGATGTCCCCAGGAGCCCCCTCAGCCCAGTGAGTCCGGGATTTGGTACGGTGAAAGAGCCGTATTTCCACATTGCGTGGTGTTCGAAGTCGAATCCGGATGATACTGGCTTGCTTCTAGCGGGCGGCTCACCAACCACCAACCCCACAAGAGGTCTGACATTCATCGAACTGGGTCCCACGCCGAACTACCAAACATCAACCTGGGATTTCCTGGCAAGTCACTTTCGCAACCCCAAACGGATACATGTCCTTTCAACACCACCCAATGCCGCGATTAGCACATTTCTTATTGTTCCTCGTTCGTCTCCCCATTTCGCCGGCTCCCATGATCCGATTGCAGTCATGACTGTATTGTCATCCGGTGAAGTAATCACGTTGAGCTTTCCCACCGGACATCCTATTACACCCAGCAACCAACTACACGTCTCGTTGTCATTTGTCCATCCGTTTGTAACTAAAATCGCGCTCGCATTCGTGGACCGAACTAGATGGCTCGGCATGCGCGAAGTTCGCCAGCATGGTCCACATTTTTTGATCGGTGGTGCTGAAGGTATCAAGCCTCTCAAGAGACATGAAAACAGAAACATAGTTCAAGCGGCCCACGCCGATGGCACGATTCGATTATGGGATGCTGGACATGGCGACGTCATCGAGAACCCCAGTGTCCTCCAGGTTGATCTCGGAAAAGCAGTCGGTCGGTGGGATAAGCTAGACGTGGCCCAGATGAGTATGTCTGGTGCGACTGGAGAACTTTCGGTAGGGTTGAGATCCGGCGAACTTGTGGTTTTTCGGCTCAATCGCAATCAATTCTTCGGCCATCCTCCAGCTGATCCAGACCTGAATGAAGGACCCGGCAAAATGCAAGATATCAGTAAACGGGCAGACTCGGGCTTGAAAGAAGGTCTCCTACCTTTGACAATGACGAATGACCAGCAAGGCCCTATCACCGCTCTACAACATTCAGATGTTGGGTTCGTAGCGGCTGGTTATGCTGGGGGCGGCGTGACCATCGTTGATCTGCGCGGTCCTGCTATCATCCACACGTCTCTGCTCAATGAAATGGTCGGCGGCAAACATCGGAGAGGAAGCATTCGGCGATCTACACCTGCCACCCAATCGACAGAATACGCAACAACGATGGAATTCGGCATCTTAACCCTGGATGGTGACGGTAGGTTTCTCCCCTGTTGTATCTAGGTGGCGTTAACGCGTAGATAGACTATTCCTCCCTTGCCTTGTTTGTCGGCACATCTCGTGGGCGGGTCGCCACATTCAAGATTCTCCCCTCTCAATCCGGGCGGTATTCCGCACAGTTCACAGGGGTGGCACCGATAGCAGACGATCGAGTCATCTCCTTGTGTCCAATTGATGCCCACACAGGCGCTCCTGCAGCTGCAACAGGCCATGCTATGGGAGGCTTACAGTCCGGCCAAAAAGTTGATGGCGTCCTTGTCGCTGTTACGGTCTCATCTGTGCACATCTTCCGCCCAGCGTCCGCAAAAGGTGCCTCCAAAACTTTCGACCACTACTTGTGCGATTCAGCCACAGTAGCCCACTACGAAGAACGTGGTTATGCTGTCGTCGGCTTATTTGGTGATGGTGCCGCCCGAGCATTCTCGATTCCGGCTCTGAAGGAAATTGCAAGTTTACGGGTCAACCATCTTCTCGACACCAAACGCTTCGGCGATGCAATCGTCTCTCCCACCGGCGATATTCTGGGTTGGGCAGGTCCTAGCGAACTAGCCATGGTTAATGTCTTCGGCTGCGGGATGTCCCTCCCACCCAGCACTGACCGCCTCTATGATGCTGCCAAAATGGTCCCCAGTCGGCCTACAATCAGCAACCTCCAATGGATTGCTGGAACGCAGTACATCACCCCTTCAGATATGGATATTCTCATTGGCGGTCCCGACCGACCACCTTCTAAGCGGATGTTGGCGGAAATGCGAGCCGCGCAGGAGGCAGAATTTCAACGACAACGGGAAGCCGCGCGGACAGGACGCGCACCCAAGCCAGATCAATCTCAGGAGACGTACTGGGCGTACATGCAGCGGCAGATTCAGGAACGAACGGAGAATCTGGGACTGGCGGGGGACAGTCTGGACAGAGCAGCCGAGTCCAGTAGCTCTTGGAGCGATGATGTAAACAAGTTCGTGGCGAAGCAGAAGAGAGCGGCGGCGTTGGGATTTATTGGTTCCAAGCTTGGGCTCTAAAAGTTTGGTGATGGGTTTGACCGAGGAGTTCTATGACTTGCACGCCCGCATAGATGGAAGGCAGCCATGACTGTCGGAAGGTATGTGCTGTCATGAGGTTTGGTAATGCTGATGGATGAGACAGCATCTAGGAATTGTGGTTTATCTATTTTCCGTCTTTGACGCTCGTCTCGGTGCAAATATATACGCTGTTCTACAAGGCAAGTTATCTACTTCCCATCTACTGTGGGGTATAGCTATTTGCCACAAGTTTTCATGTCTCCCGTCATGGTTACGTTGCTTAGCATGTCCGTTCTTGCCTCTGTGTGTTCTCCACGTTGGAAGACTGTGCAATCCCCATCAAGTTCTGGAAATTTTCGTTTACTACGATTCTAGAGAGGAATCCTGCACTGGGACGGAGGATGCAATGTGGCCTGTGCACTTTCGAGAACAATGGGAATGTTCCTCAGCATTTTCTCGAAGCTCTCTCCCCCGCTGTGTGACAACGTTAGAACGTTAGAACGAGCCGCCGTCGACGCAAACGGGGCCTCGGCGAGCCAAAAAGGGACGCGCGGTGGGGACCTTGCAGGTGACTCGTTGTTTGAAGACCATGATGATCGTTTGTTATGTGAAGAAACGGGCGTCGAGTCAATGAGTGAGTCGCCGTCATTGTCTTCAAATTTTGTTTCTTGGGCTCCGCATCCGGAAGTGCCTTCGATTGTTCAACGCGACAGCCGAGAGTTGTCATTGTGTGTGATGACCAATGGTCCGTTCAATCAGTGCCCGTGTCACGGAGTGAGGATACTGCCCTATCATGACGGTGAGACTGTCTTTTTGTTCAAGGCTCCGCAAGATTCGAAGGAATGGACAAGAAAGCTGTTTCTTCCTGTCATCAGCCTTTTCGACTTGAGATCGAGGTCATCACATTTCTCCTTCTCAGCGCGTAGCCTGAGTGAAACAAATAACCAGGCCCTCGTCACGATGAAGAAGCTCACCCGCACCCTCTCAGCCCGCAGCAGGAGCAAATCCCATCCCCAGCCCCTCTCGATCAAGAGCAACGGCAAGGGTAGCGGCGGCGCCCGGTCGAACCAGGCTCATGTGCGGAAATCTTCCCTTACAAGCCCCATCCCTCCGAACACGCAGATCCATTTCCCTCAGTGTCCACATACCACGCCTCCCACTCCTCGGCCAGCACGGCTGCCGTCCGTGTTGAGGACCGAAATCATCGAAGACGCTCAAACACCGGAGGAGCCAATACCAGGTCGAGCCTCGAATGGCCTAGCAGCGGCGGCAGACAAGGACTGGAATGTCCGAATCAGACAATTCTTGATCGTCCCGACGCACTGTCTCGACTGCACGTTCTCTCTGGCCCTGCAACAAGAGTCATGGATCCGCGAGAGGTGCGCGGCCGTTGTGCGGGAATCGAAATTGAGGGTCGTGGAGTTAAAGTCAGGCCTCGCGGCTCTGAGCACTACAGACGACGGTCACGACCCCAGGACTGTGCATACCACCCGCGTGAACAGTAGTGAGTTGGGCGACGACAGCACAGAAGACGTGCAGACCACGCAGAAAGCCGAGATCACGTACCACGAGCAGCGCATCGAGGAGCAGCTGCGCCGACGGGACGACGAGGTGAGGAAGATGTGGGACCAGATCCGCGGCCAGTGGGAAGGCTGTATTCGCGAGGTCGTCAGGGATGACGGGACAAGCGAGGCTGAGGAACGCTGCGTGTTTGTGATGCCATGGGATCAGGAGGAGGTCGTGTCTGAGGGTGTGAAGGAGGGCAACGCAGATAAGAGAGCGCGAGAAGAGTGTCTCCCGAGGGTGAGAGTGGAATGGTTGCCGATCGAGGAGTGAGTGAGCGGCCCAGTCCTCTCGTCAGATTGTGCGGAGTACGGTGTAGGGCTTGAGGGCTTGAGGGCTTGGTGTTGACGCCACAGGAACCTAACCTCTTATGGCCGCTAGCAGCCACCCGCGGAACCAATCCCAAGTCCTCCATCGAACACACTTTCCTCCCAAGTTGGGTTAGCGGCTGGATTGACAGCAGTTTGCCTATGTTCTTGGACACCAGCTGTAGACTCCCAGCACTTCTACTGCAGATATCGAAGCACTCCGTGTACTGCTTCAACTGCCCATCGAGCTATACACGATATGCTATATAGTAACTACCTATGAACGAGTACCAGAAGCCATTGGATCGGCCGGCGCTCGAAACGAGCATCGGAAATAGCATCGGAATATATAATCTTCGACTCATTGCTGGTAGAATCTACTAGTCTTAAATCGTTGTCTGAAGTCAGATGCATAGACACAGAAAGACTATTGCCCATAGTGGAATAGTTCTAATGGTCCGTACCCCTTGTTGACTGTCTGCCATGGTTCGATATCTCTCAACCTTAGAGGCCTCACTTGCATGGTCATGGAAACTCCAATCAGTGGCCGTATACTGTCAAATTGTCCTTGGAGGAGGTGACACTCCTGCAGCAGGTCTTCCAGCTCCTCGTAGTTCTTGCTTTGCGCACCCGCCCTTTGATGTCAGCAATCCCAGCGTCCGTCTCCGGCTTGGAGTGCGCAATTTTGGCCAAGCACAGCTTCCGTTTCTGCTTCCGTACGATGCTTTCCTCAACGCTATTCTGCCCCGCCTACCTCCACACCGTCACTGGCTTGTCTTGCCCAATTCGATACGCACGCGCGATGGCCTATTCCTCCACCATTGAATTCCAACGAGGCTCTACGAGATGGACATGTGTGGCTGGCGTGAGAGTTAGGCCCATAGAGCCAGTCCCAAATGTGAGAAGCATTACTCAGACCTCGGGCTTGGTCCGGAACCCACAGAGGACTCGCGCACGTTCATCGGGTGAGTGCCCGCCGTCGAGCCGAGCACAGCAAAATGCTGTGCTGTGGGAGTTAGTTTGCCAGTGATGCTAGTGAATAGTTTCCCATACGAGAAAACAAGAGTGTCAATCATGCAGGCACCGTCTGCTCCAGGAGCCGCCACTTACCTCTTACCCTCAAAACCCGACGACCCCTGGTGCAGCATTAAGACTTTCGGCATTGTGACAAGGCAAAGTGGCAGTGTTGTGCTGACATAGGGATTGCAGAAAGGCGGCTGAGCCGGTCACATATGAAGACAAAAAGAACTAGCATTATTTTTTAGCTGTGGACTAGAGACTTCATGGTAGAAAGGAGCTACTAAGTATTTAAGTAATAAGAGAGTATAACAATAGTTACATTTGTTTCGAAATGGCTATATTAGTACACTATAGTTGTGAAATATTTAATAATTTACACTGCTAACCGTGTACCATTCTTTACAGTTTGAACGGAGTATGCTACATTTTTTTTTGACACCGCCTATCGATTTCCGAGTATCCGTTCTGTCATTTTTCACTCCTTAACGCCGTCACCTGCTAGACGCTCATTATTTTAGTCGTTATCTCTCTGTGGGTGGGTGTTGGTGGTGATGTTGTCTCGCCAGTGCCGACCAGAAAAGCGTTCTCGATTTCCGATCTGTCTGACAGGCCTCTCTGCGTTGTTGCATGCGCATGTTAAACCCATGAAGTCCTCCGTTACGACAACACGGAGGCAATCTTTGCGGATATGAAATTCGCTGTGTCCGGCACTGGCGCGAAAGGGAGGGCGGAAGCGTAGTCGTCATATGCACTTTTGACGCTCGAATCACCTCCACATATTGGCTGTTCCTCTACAGCTCCACAAAATGGGACAGCATACCTCCCCAGCTTCCTCTTCGGCGCTGAGAATTGAAGAACTGGCGTAACAGACATCGGAGAGCACATGGCCGCATTACCCGTGGAAGATGGATGTCCACGCCACTCTGCTGATGGTCCGACCACACCGATTGCAGGTTATGTTGGAACCCCAGGCTGTGATATCGGCAAGGTGGCGGGCGACGGCGTTTTGCAAGGAAATACCATTACACCAGATTCTTCATATTTTCTAATTACCTTAAAGGACAGGCGTTGATCGGCCTGCCCTTTTTGCCTCGGAGGCACCAGCCAAGGTTTGCAAGAAACTAGCTTTCAGCATCTCCTATTGCTTGCATCCTTGATTGGAAAATGAGACATTGATTGTTTGTAGCGTCATAGAGTCCAGGTTCATACCCTCTTTCAGCGACGAATCTGGAACATCCTGGCCATTTGGCGAAGAATCGAAAACCCGGCCTCACTGCACTTGGATAGGGGATCCGTCATGAACTTTCTGAAACTACGCCTCGTATCGAAGGGGTGGAACCTGAGCCAACGAGCAAGGGCACAAAGGTCGCTTGAGCCATTTAGAACAGGTGTGCCGGTCAAACACCATCTCCTCTGTGCTTCAGACTCATGCAAAACTTTGGAGGACTGGAGTGGACCCTTTGCGGTTCCAATGGGTTTCGTCAAGAGCAATTCGGAACCATGGACACTGACCCAGGTGACCAGATAATGACCTCTGTTCTAATTCGATGGTCTCAGATGTTGATCAGCACACCTTGCGTAGTCTCTAGGTCCGAATTCAACCCAGATTTTGCTTGGATATGGTGGACTAGAGGCCCAAAACGCGTGCGTCGATGTGTCTGCTTAGCGAAGTTAGGAGCTGGGTGTTTCTCCCGAATTCAACATTGGGCATACTTTGAGATGTCATCTTGCTAGTTACGTAGAGCTGCGCCACGTCAGTGAGCTTCGTCGCAGGACTCCGAGACTCGTCTTTGAACAAGGTGTGACGACGAGGGTGGCTCCAACTCTTGGGGGTCGACGTGGAAAAAGAGCCTCAGAACCGGCCATGCGGCGTCGAGTCTCTTCCAAGGTCTACTATGAGGGCCAACAAAGAGAGGGACCTTTCCCAGGTCCCATCCCGTCTGCCAATAAGCCTTCCACGCACTCGTCCACCGGCGTGTCCTTTTTCTCCCGTGCCAACTCGTGGACATACCTGCACAATATACCGAGTCAAATCCTAATTTTATCTCGCCAGTCTTCAGGCTTGATACTTGCCTAAGTTCACCGTTGATTCCATTCCGCTTCCATATTGTTGGGCTGAGAGATTTCCTATCTACGCCCTCTCGACGTAACATAGATTCCAATGCAGCAATCTGATGAGTACAGGTTGGGATTTGCAGCGAACGCCTAATCCGGAGGAGGTCTTACCGTTATAGGGGCGTTTTGATTCTCGAATCTCGCTCAATTGTAGACCATGGTCCACTATATTGTGTCTGAGACAGTATATTTTGATCTCTTCATCGAAATGGTTGTCTTCCTGTGACTGCTGGTTGATCAAGAAAGAGGTGTGGAGCTCCTCGGTTATGGAATATACACGAGGGGTGTACTACGGGACAGATGGAGGTAGCGTGCTTAGCTTTGCAAACAGAGGATCGCATCTCCAAGAGAAATCCCCCCTGGCTGGACGTGTCTCTTTTGGGTTGCTGCCGGGCAGATGGGCATTGCGAACATGGAAAGAGTCTTGCGAAAACATTCGTTATCAGGGCAACGAGCAGTGGACCGCCACGGTATGGGTACACATCTCACCTGGCCATGGCAAACAGTCGTGGGCGAGGATCGCAAGTGAGCGGAGGTTTAAGTTGACATCCAGCAGATCCGGCGAAGGGTGGGTGTCTCCAACCGCATTCGCCCGGGATCTTTTCTTGGTGAACATCTTCATCTCTCATCTCTGTCGATTCTGAGCAATGCCAGGTTTATGTCCAGCGGTGAAATCAATACCCTATGGCTCTCACGAGACACACGTGCAGTCTTCACCTGTGCTTCACGCCACGGCTGGAGTATAAATCTGGCATCTGCCAGCTCGTCAGCCTTGACCGCAGTCGTGGAGAGGGGGGGAAGGGGGACGGTGCAGCCATTTTCCGCCGGTATCGAAGTGTTATGAACAATGTCCCTTGGCCACGGATCGCATTTGAGTCCAAGACTACTCGGGTTGAGTGACTGTTTGGGCTTGACAAGGGTTCAAGATCCAGGTGCACAACTAACACTGCCGTTGCCTACGGAGAGCTACCCAATGCTAGGGGGGATTGAGCACAGGACGAAGATGAGGATAGGATAGAAATTGAAGACACAAAACCTGGATCTTTGCATTCCACTGTTCGGGCGAGTGTTACCTAGCGGAGGTCTGGTCCGTCGATGCGCCGTGCACAGGACGTTCTCCATGCAGCATTCAAAGCCAACACCTTCTTCGCCCTCCAGCCAGCCTCTAGAACCAGGTGTCGTAGGCAACTGACCACTTTTCTCGAACCCCTAACTCTGCGCACCGTCCATGCCGCCTGCCCAGTTATTGCTAGGGACGGCTTGCGAGTATTCGCGGCCAGTTTTCGTCTTGTGCTTCGGCTCCCTCTTCGCCATCATCATCATCTACTTCTTTCTCCTCGTCGTCGCCGTCCTGCGCTTCCGCCCCCTCTCCATTTGCTTCACCCGCATGTTCCTGCACATCGCACCCCTCCATAGGGAACTGAGAGCCATCCCCACTATCCACGAGACTCACAAGGCCATCAAGTTGAGGGTCCGAAGCCATATTCTCCTGCGCTTTCATATCTACTGCCTCGAAGTCTCCTTCCTCGACTCTCGGACTGCAGGCAGACGCCGTCTCGGTCGTGTCGTCCTCATCTTCAACGTCCTCGCCGCGGTTCGACTGTTTCTTGCTGCGTATCCGCCTCGCCTGGTCACAAAGGAAGAGTCGAGGAGTTTCGAGGCTCGCGCTTTCGTGATGTCTGTCGAATAATCTCCTCAACGCCATCAGGAAACGACGTTGCACATCGGCCGCGTCACGCCGATCCTGTCTCCTAGCCTCGTAATTCTCCCCCAGAGAACATGCTTTTTGCCAGGTCCACATGAGCTTGACCCAACGACTGCCGACCATCTCCGCGAGCCTCCAAGACCTGCTGTCTTCTGGATCGTCTCCGCCGCGGTCGAACACGTCGGCAACCTCCTTCATGACTGGCACGAGCTCATCCCACAGTCCGTTGAGGTGTTGCTCAGCGCTCATCCGACTCTCGACTGTGGCCAACAAATCTCTGCAGTCCGTAGCCCGCCATTTGAGGGGATCATGGAAGTTTGCCGCGTCATTGGCCGATGCAACGGTCGAATAAAGCCTGATTGATTTCTGCCCCGAGTTTCTTATTGCTCAATTTCTTGGGCCTGGTGCTGCCGTTGGCTCCTTTTCCCGATCGCCTTGGAGGCGTCTTGAATGAGGATAGGCAATTTCAGTGGATAAAACTGACCGTACCGCAGATGTAGTGACAACTTCTGATGGCGGTACCCCCCTGCAGATGGAGATAGGGTGCGCAGGGCTGACCATTCATCGAGGGAGGCAAGCCTCTAAATCTTTTCAATGACCGCCTGCTCAGCTGGCCGCTAACCTGCAGCCTTCCGAAGACGATCCCAGGTTGTAGGGAAATCATCACCGCATCGTGTAACTCCAATAGGGTCCCCTTCACCATGCTCAACCCAAGCCTTTTCCTCATTCTAGTCCCATATAAGCAGGGCTGCAAGTAGTCCGAGCCGAGGAGAGAAGCGGCAAAAATATATTTTACAGGATACAGATACCCTCAGGTGGGCCAAATTCAAAGTGAGTTGGCCACTGGACGTGAACAGAAATGGACGAATCCGGACATATACTGTAACGGAGCAATTCTGGATTCAGCATGCACGTGCAACAACGCACACAGGCCCGTCTGGCAGGTCGGAAATCGAGAATACCTTTCTGGTTGGCGCTGGCAACACAACGCCACCACCAACACCACCCACGGAGAGGTAGCGGCTAGGACAACGCAGCGCCTAGCACGGCGGCGGTGCATAGGAGTGGGAAAGAACGCAAAGAATGCTCAGGAATAGGTAGACGGTATCAAGAGAACCACAGAATACTCTGATTAAACTGCAAAAAATGGCTCTCTGCCAGCACACTGAATTGTCCAACGCTCCCCCCAGTACTATCACAATCTCTCCCGCATAATCAGAGCTAATGCTGGTTCCTTTTTGGTTTGACACGTGACCAGCCATATCTCCTTCCTGCCACCCCTATACCAGCCCAACACTGCCACTTTGCCCGGTGACAATACCTCCATGGCAGACTTTTCTGGCCAGGCGACCCCTCACTTTGGAGTGAGAGAAATTGGGGACATCTTCCGGTACAAGCCACGCACTCACGACGTGATTACCTTATTTCTCGGGCTGTTATCCGCGAACTTGGATCATGGCGTCACAACGAAAGCCCTGAGCGGCCTACCGATCGATCGAGGCACCGTGGCCGACCTGCTGGAGGACCTAGTGAGACGGACAGTAGCAGAGCTCTCCCCCCCAATCAAGCTGGCTAATTCAATCACGGTGCAGGAGTACCATAGTAGAAAGGAGCAAAAAGCAAATGAGAAGTATTGTGCATTCACGGGAAGGTAACATGTAGGATAAGAGAAGTAAGTTCTTCCAGCTATCCGGGCCCACACACCTATCAAAGCAGTCGTGAATTCCTACGATCCACTGTCAATCGGTGTAAAGTCGCTGCACTCACGCGCTGCTGGCCCCCTCAAATGCCGATGCATCGCCGAACCGCCCTCGATGACCTTTCAAAGCCGTTGTAAAACCCATTGAATGACTTCGGACGACAGCTATAATCCACAGGACCCGGAACCCGCGAGACGGGGTTGACCGGCGTCAGGCGAGCAAAACAGGACGTAGGCGAACGCGGTCTCTGGCCGCAAACACCGGAAAAGCTCTTCTGTACACTATGCTTTGTGAGCGGACAGCAACGCGACGAAGAAGGGGGGGCCGTCACAGGGAAACAGACCTTCTTTTGGCTGTCCTCGACCACGGCCCCCGGCTCAGCAACGGTTATTTCGCCCAGAAAGGAAGCGAGCTTAGGCCCATTGGGACGTGGCAAGCTAAAATAGTCACGCCGCTTCCGCACACGCCCCCAGGCGAGACTCCCACGGCGCCAATGAATGACACGTTCGAGCGGCCAGTGACGAGAGGTCGTGCTCTTGATTTCCACCTCACGTCAACGGCAAGAATACAGACCATTCCCCCGTGGCACCATGTTCTTGGTGCCAAAATCGACGAGCTCGATTAGGCCGGCACACCAGCTCATCAAAATCTTCGAGCGTCACTAGTGAGCAATAATTTGCGGGGCCTTCCCCTGGAGCATGAAATCCTGATCGCGGATCCCCCCAAGGAGATCCCTTATCCCACTGTCAATATCAGAAAACTCGAGCATTGCGCAAAGCGTGGTGTATCCGAGACAGCTTTGTTGCAGTTTGCAACGGAGCCCTTGAAATAGATCGTAGATTAACCTGGTAGCAACGCCCTCCTGCGGCTCAAACATTAGGGGATCCTTTCCTCCGCTGGGGCATCTGTCGTCGCAGACAGAGGCATCTTTATTGCCCGGGGCGATAGGAATCACGTAGCTTATCGTACGGGACAGGACGAGACTGGTGATTTCGGACGATGTGGTATTTGAGTAGACGTGGCCTTTGAACGTGCAGTCGTGGATGTGCAATGTCGGCAGGACGTCCACGGCCGTGACAGTATCGGTAAACCTCAACAGAGCAGCTCCACGTGCGTGTTGCTGTAAGCGCGTCTGCTCCGCAAGAACCCCAATTCGTGGTCCCCCCCGGGAATCCGTGCCATGGGCAAGGGCTTCACCTGGCTGTCCACCATCATTGTCACCGTCGTTGACGTCCTCGGTAGCCCATGACCCATTGCTGCACTCGGGGTGGAGACGTGAGATCTCGTAAATTTTAAACTGATCAACTTGGCCCGCGGCGCTCGTCTTCTGCGCCTCATCTTTGCGTGACGCTCCGTTGGTCTCGCTCCGGGGCTTTGTCCTGGGCTTTTGCTCACCGTCAGGCACTGCCAAACCGTGGGAGGCGGACCGCGTGCCGAGTCCAAGGCCTCCCGCCACTTTGACGGGCTGCAGAGCTCCATGGACAGGGTGGAGAATGGCGCCGATGATATCTGCTTTGGCCCTGCAACAATTTGGAGCGCCTCACGACCGCAGCCGCCGTCGCCGCGGGCCTGTGCGACCATCGAGGTCTGGCACTCCGGAGGCTGTGAGGACCTGCCAGTTGGACTCGTGCGTCGTCCCCGTGCCACAGCGACTGCCGGGCGCGGCACCACAGTCCTTGAATTTGTAGAAGCTAGTTCAACTCCCACTCCTGACCACGATCGGGAAGATCGAAGAATGAGGACGAAAAGGTGGGTCACCCACCAACATTCGCTCAAATCCAGACATTTCGCGACAACTCAGATTCTGTGGTAAAATTCTCAGAATCCCTCGTTTATAGCCCGGTGGTGTGGCATAGAAACTTTGGTACTATCAAAGAGACGGCGTGGCGACTGAGCGAGTCTCAGAGCTCTCGGTACAACTCAACGATCCCATCCGCAGTCAGGAATGCTGTGTAATTTCTTGGCCCCACCAAAACTTCCCCCTGTTCCCGCCTTGGGCTTACATTGCCTATCGCTATGTGTCCAGATTAGCCTTCTTAGGGACCTCGTAGGCTGATCGAAGTTCTAGGGGGCGTGGGTGCACTGAGGGGACGTCATGGTGGGTGGTAGGCTGGCCGGGCTGATTTACACTTCCCCCGCCGCCCGGAACGTCTCTCTGTGTATAAATTAGGAGTAGAATAGGCCAATCTCCATAGAAACCATGGCGATTAACCCACAAAACCAAGTGTTGTGTGGCGGTATAGGCCCTGAATATCCAGGCTGAGAAATTACTCGGCATGACTGACCGCGGATGGGATGAGAATGCGCACGAAACGTCCGTCGTCCCCTTTTCACTTCTATCGTTCTCAGCTACGGGGGCGCATTGCCCAACTAAATTCGGCGTACAGCGAGACCTTGTGCTCATCTTCATCGTGACCAGATTGTAGATTGATTCATCAACTATGAGCGCGGCAGGATTGCTGCAAAAAGTGCGTATGGTCGCCTGCTGCGCAGGTGTCCCACTTGTTGTGTCCCGCCCCAGCTTATCCCGCCATTTTCCTCCCCGTCATGGGTGATGACTAGACATTTCAATGTCATCTCGCGCGTACAGTCTGCTCGGCGATCTCAACATGGTCCGTCATCGTCAAAAAGCGAAGCGATGAGGGAAGGTGGTCAAGGGTGGTCTGGACGGTTCAATGCTGTGCCCCTTTCTATGAAGAGAGGCGAGGCGAGGCGATGTCATTGGCCAGCTGGCCGGACCACCTCCAAACTTTGAGGTCCACACAGTTGCCCGTATCACCGCCAAAACGGGAGTATAATTCGATGAACTTAGCGTCAATTTGAAGCCCTGGATGGGGCAAGTCCAATGCTGCATTTGCAGCTTCATCCACACCGTAGGCAGAAAGTTGTCAAGGGGAGAAGGTCGAGCGCTGGCGGTGCAGCTTTTGAGGTGTTCTTGGCGCTTAGTAATATGTGATTTTGGGCAAGGCCTGGCATTGATCACGTGATGACGCGCAACTCCGCTCACTTTTTCCAATCTTCATATATCCAATACCCAAACTTTTTGCCAGGAATCAAAGCACCAACACTACAGATTCTCCACGCGCAATTGGTCTAGTGGTATGATTCTCGCTTAGGGTTCACTCTAAGTTCAAATGCGAGAGGCCCCAGGTTCGAACCCTGGATTGCGCCAGACTTTTTTCCTTTTTTAAACCTCTCTTTTTGGTGGGTATATGAGGGAGATGTGAGTCCAGACGCTGTGAAGCTGAGCAATGTAAGTACGACACCGTGAACAAGGGTCGGTTGTTTTCAAAATCGACATGGCGAGCGGTCTGGTGAGGCCCACGTGAGCTCCGACCAGCCTTTTTTCTTGTGTTTTCTTTGGGGGGCTCGACCATCTGCAGGCACAGGGTGCCAAGGCGCTTGGCCAGGGTAGCTGACGAGCCTACCCATAGCCAGCTCGCCAGGCGCCCGGCGGTCCCAGGCGGGCTCCTACATATTCGCCTCACTCCCCCATGTTGCTCGCGTGCACAATTCATCCACGGATCCAAGGCAACAACACACGATGGGGCAAAGCTGGAAACCGATCGAGATGTAGGTTCTGGCACAGGCAACTCCTGCGACTTCCAGCCTTCTTCCATCGTCCCTTTTTGCTGCAACTAGCCTGGAATTCAAGGCTCGGATCCCCAACAGTGTTGTCGACACCTTTGACGGAATTCGGACTCTCCAGGACCTGGAATGTGCTATTTGAGACCTTGAGGCTAGAGAGGCCGATAGGAAGTCGTTTCGTTATTTGAGCAAGATCAAGCCATACCTCAACGCTTTAGATGCATGCTCCAAGGCCATCGAGATCTTTGTCAACACGAAGCCTGAAATCATGGCCTTTTTCGGGGTTCCATCAAGGTGTGCTTACTGTTACAGTGTCACCTTTACATGACGCCCAGGATTTGAATGACAGCCAGCATGCAGCATCAGATCACCTCCAAGTACGAAAAAGTTTTAGATTCTCTTCTTTCGGCCTATGTGGGAATCATGGCTACTCTTCCCCATTTCTCGGCAGTCGAGCAATTGTTCGAGACCAAATCCCAGATCCGAAACGTTCTAGTCAGTGTATACAAGGATGTCCTCTCTTTCCACCTGCGTACTATCACTTCACCGGGTCAGGTAAGTTCAATATGATACTTGCCTGTGCGGCCCAGGAACATCTTGCAAGCTTACGAATTAGGCTGGAGCGTTGCGTTACGCGTTACATGTCGTGCGTTTGAGGACATCTCTGGCGACATTTTCAGCAACGTCGAGCGTTCAAAGGAGCTGCTCTATCCTTTAGCAAGCATTGCGCGTTATCAAGCTGCCCAAGAAGCACGACGGCAGATCGAGGCCATGTTCAAAGCACAACAAGAGACAACTCGTGTACAGAAGAGCTGTTGTACGGGCTTGGCTTAATATGCCAAGCATCATGAATGGCACGAACAACTCTGCGATCTTAGACTAGACTATCCGCATCCGGCAAAGTGAATTTTCGACGAGCCCTGTTGGAAGAACTGGCTCAATAATGAAGAGAAAAACGGGAGAATTCTCTAGGTCTGGGAATTCCAGGAGCCGGTGAAGGACTCGACCGCCAGCCTCCAAACCGCATTGGTGATAGAGGCAGGCGAGACTGTGGTCTTTAGTTCAATGGCCCAAGCGTTCATGAATTGGTCACAAAGGATATCTCATTATTTGCGGTTGCATATGTTTCCTGCAAATACAATGACACAGAGGAATGGCTTTACCCAGCTGGATCGCTCGTTGATGCCTCAGCTCGTTGGCATCAAGGACATCTGCGGGAAGTATCTATTTGATGTTGCCGCAAATAGTACTGAACGCATGGCAAGCCAGAGAGCAAGCGCTAGCGACGACAATCCAGGATGTCCTGCAATGTTATGAAGAAGTGTTCATCGGATTTGTCGGACTCGATGAGGGCGAGCAGGAACACTGGACCCAAGCTTTGAAGCTGCTCAAAGAACTGCTCAAGCTCCCTGCGCCGAGTCGCGATTTAATTCCTCACAAGTCGAGCAGAGCGAGATATCGAGAAATTCAAGGCCTCGGTCCGCTATCATGTGAAGATCGGACCCGAGCATCTTTCAGAGGATATTCTTTGCCACGTAGAGAGGCCGGAGCACAGAATTATCTAGGTTTGATTTGACAAGTCAACATACAGGGGGTCTGAATAGGGCGGTTTCTGCACGATGTGCCTGTGAGTTCAAGACGGTCTGTTTGCTCCTGACTGAGGACTAAGCTTGAATAGGATGTTAGAAAAACAGAGACCAAATCTGGTCGCGCCCGGGCAAAGCTAGTCCTGGAAATATCGAGCTATGCGAAGCGAGAACTTTGCGCCCATGACCTTCAGGACGTGCTTTCGATGGATACGACTAGCCACAGAATCGATTTCAGCAAGGGAAGATACACGCAGCGCTTCAAAGAGATCTGCAGGCCTCGTGGGATTGATTCCATATGGGACGGCTGATTTAGCACACCAAACCATTCCATTTGGTAGATCTCACTGATTTCCGTTGCAGCTATCTGGATCAATATCACTCGGAATACGTCAACCTTGCGTCTGCCGCCTTCCTCTCCAGAAAGATATGCACCTCTTACCTCTCGCTTGATTTCTTTGCGTCCATACACCAGGACGAAACGGTGGCTGAAGCTGCAACAAGGGGAAGCTTTGCTTTCGACAAATACGCTATCTTGTATTGGCTATCCCACGTCGCCTGCCTGGCGGAATGCCATATTTCAGAACCTTGGATCATTTCAGGCCTGGCGAAAGACATCCAGGGAGTTTACAAGAATCTGTCCTCCTTCTCTGAATCGGCTATTGATGGCGGAGACGACGTCCAGCTTGTGGAGCGGACTAACCTCATACGTTTGCTAGAAAGGCTAGAAACCGTGTACGAAGAGCTCTCACCAAATTATGGTAGGGCCTTTCGAAATCCCAATTAGGCCTCCTCAAAAATCCACCATTGTCACAGACGAAAGCTCACCAGTAGCGCGACAAATATCTGGGATTCAAGAAACCATCGAGGCTACAATCTCTTCCCAACTGACCCGTGAAAAGGACGTTTTCTTCAAAGAAGCATACAGTCCTCGTCCGTATCAGCGTACAAGTCTCTCTTGCTCGCAATTCTACGGCGGATTCCCCACACAACACGAAAGAGATGATCACTCCCAAGGGCACGAAAGAAAGTCCTTGTGCCCCTTCCGATGCTGAGAGCCCTTGACTCTCATCTGGAAATACTCCACCTTGAGAGTATATCACCGCAGTTCTCAAATCCGAAGGCCTGTTCGATTTGGATTTCCTTGCAAAATATTATCAAGACTGATGGTGAAGCCTCAGTTGGGGACATGTGCCTTGAAGCTACAAGCATCCAGGAAAGCCGTCGGGTCTCGTTGCCCGGCCATTTTCAAAGGACCCTTTGACTCGGTGCTAGCGTTACTCCACCATTCCACGGCCTTGGTGATTTGTATCTCAAAGGCGTTGCGGGAGATAAGCTCGTCACAACACTTGCAGTGGTTGGCGAACTCAGTTTAGTGCGCCAAATTCTCCCCCTCTGCCCTTCGGTGGGGTGGAAATGGCGCAATCAGTGGACGCTTGTTCGGCCGTCGGTGGCAGAGTTCGCACAGATACGGTCACATTCTTGCTTGACCAAGTGCGACTGCAGACGGACCACATATCATGGAGGATTGAAAAACAATATGGTCGTCTCATCGAGGGGGCTGCGCGAGCCGGTGATGGTGATGAGCTGTCGGTTATTCTTGACAGAATTGGCCGTTCCTGTGGTTCAATTGCCTCATCGACTTGCTGTCGACAAATAGCGGTCCAAGGCAATGTTTATACTGTTTGGTTCTTACTTGAACGTGGCGCTCAAGGTTGGAATCGTTGGTGGTGAGCCCGGAAACGCCCTCGCCGCCGCAGCTGCCACAGGCTAGGTGCAAACGCATCACAAGGGGCTCGTGCGCGCAGCACCAAAGGATGTAGGGATGTTACTCTCTCCCTGTATCCCGTCCTTTTGCAGCGACTCCTTTGCATTTCGCCGCGGCTGAGTTGCAAGAGGGAGCTACACAGGCGTTGATCGAAGCAAGAGCATATGCGAGGGCAATTGACAGCAATGGAGATACTGTCTTGCACATGTGTGTCCTGCGGCCATTTGTCGCAACAGCGGACAGGGCCGCACATGGCTGGAATGTGAGGCCAGTCGCAACGAGGGTACAGCGCTCCAGCTGTAAAGTTGCTAGTTTGCTCTTACAATACGGAGCTCTTCCCACAGCGCAGGATGGTCATGGCCACTCTCCTCTGCACTTGCTCTTTGTTTGAGAGATTTGTCACGGCGGTGTGCTATGCCAATAGCTAAATTACTATTTGAGCCTGTCTCCAGCTTTGACCAACCCAACAGTGGGAATTTTACTGCAAGAGACGCAGCCATCTAGATCGGAGGGCAAATGCTCGAGGACATTAAGCGTGAGATTCCGGTTGCGTGGGAAGACTATGGCGAGTCTATCCCCGTGGATCTAATTCAAGTGTCTTCTTCCTCGGTTGTGGCCCTGAACGACGTGTCAGAGCATCCCGTCACTTCTTTCTATTCTTGATCTGGAAGGCCAGCATTTGCACGAAGGAGAAACCAGCGGGCCAAACGATGACTCCGGCCGAGACAACGCGGTATCTCAGAGGCTCACCAGGCCTGGTTTCTTCCCGAATGGCAACAACACGTCCGAGACGATGAACGCCTCATATGCGCCGCCAGATGCAATGCAATGAACACCTACCTCGGCCCTCAGGAGAGATACCCATCCACCCTTTGTGACCTATGACCAGGATATACCCGTGGATGGATCTACGGGACGGGCGATGATGTGCTTTTGTCTACTGACATCGGCGAGGATCTGCCGAGGAACTATTTCCAAGACCCGGATTCTGACCTGTCCAGGAATCTGTGGCAGGATGCCTAAGGCCACTGTGAGATGAAAATGGAACCAAGAACCACGAATTCAATCGAAGACGATTACCGGCTCAACGTCGTTCGACAGAGGTTGGCAGAATCAAGTAATATGCAATCTAACACGAACTACCTAAAGTGCTACTACTACATTAACAAACCAAATCTCGAAACATCCAGTTCCTCCTATTCTCCGACATCCATTGAGCTTGCCTAAAGGCTAGGGTTGTGACTTGACACTGCTTTTCGTGAGACGCTCCTTGGGGGCCTTGGACTGTCCAGCGTCGTTGGTCTTTGACGCAGCAGCGTTCTTCGCAGGAGCTTTCTTGCCGGTTTGGGCTGCAGCGGCTTTGGGCTTGGTAACCTTCTTGGTAGTCATAGCCGTAGCCTTAGCCTTTGTCCCCTTCTTTGAAGCAGCGTTCTTCTCGGTGGCTGACTTTTTGGGGGCGGCGGCGGCGGCTGTTTTCGCCTCGGCCTTCTTGGACGCGGGCTTCTTGGACGCGGCTGTCTTTTTCGCTGGCTCGTTAACCGTTTCGTCCTTCTGCCCCTGCTGGGTCTTCTTGTTCTCCTCCTTTTCGTCGGCGGCGGTCTTCTTCGAAGCAGCAGTAGCTGCCCCCCCAAACCTCACGTTACTATTCACCTTGGGTGTGACCTCGGGTTTCTTCGCCGCCGTCGCCATCGCCTTCTTCGTGAAACTCGTCTTCGGCTCCGCCTTCTCCTTTCGCGCGGTAGTTTTCCTCTTGGTCTCAGTGGTGGTCGTCTTCTTCGAGCTCGCCTTCTTCTTTCCCTTAGTGGCGTCTTTCTTTGAGCTAGTTTTGTTTGTCGCAGGGGCCTCGTCCTCAGCGGTAGGACTCACATAGACGGCCCCCAGCGCATTCTCCACGGCCTGCTTTATAGCACGCCTTGTCTTGTGTTTCGGAGAGTCAATAGGCGGTGCCCCGCCGGCTTTGTTGTCGTCTCTAGCGATCTTGGTACTGCTCCTCGTCCTTCTTCTATACGGCATATCTTCTGGGTCAGGTGAATACCGCTCAGGAGATTTCCGCGCGCGAGAGGGCCGTGAACTGGCGGCAGTAGCAGGGATAGGCTTTTGAGACTTTGCCTTTCGAGTCTTAGAGACTCCAGCAGCCTCGGCGGCACTACCTTGCAGGCTAGATGCGAACTTTGCCATTTCGAGGGCGGCTGCTGCACCAAGCCGACACTTCTTTCTCACGCTGCTAGGAGTGGATGGCGTAGACGGAGCATTTTGTTCGAATGATTCTGGTTGTGTGTAGTCGGAATGCTGTGGGAATGCCGTCGATCTATTTTTCTAAGGCGAGTTAGAATCGAGGGCAAACATCAAAAACAATGCCGCCGCGATGCAGGACGTCGCGCCGAGGATATGTGCAGAGACTTGGACTTACACTCAACATTTTAGCCGCATTAGTCTTTTATTCTTTCCTGTGATTCGATTAATGTATCCTCTGCAGCAACTTGGTTGCGATGGAATGGACTGGTGTAGAAAATGCAGGGTAAGGGACCAATACCCAGACGAACGATCGCCCTTTTGTGCCTGTCCTGGTATAGGTAGCCATGTACAAAGAAAATGAGGCAGAAGAAAGGAGCCACAAGGCTTCCAGCAAGACGCGAACAAAGCACTAAGGCGTTGCAAACGGCAGCCACAAAACAGGACACACTCCGATTGAGGTGGATGGCCTCGTTTGTAAAGCCTCGATAGAGGATGCGACGCCGCTCTTCTTGAAGATAGCAAATGGTTTGCAACCAAACCAGAGCGGCGGGACAATGATGTGTAGTGAAAGAGGAATGCACAGAAAATCACCAAAGTTGCCAACTTCCCGTGGGAGAAGTTGAGAACTGCATAATATAACTTGGGAATTTTTCTGCACTCGTCTAGTCCGCTTCATATGTCGGGAGGCCAACCATCAACCTTGTCGCCTTTTTCCGACCATCACCTCGCCTTGTTCTGGTTCACCCATCCAAGGTTGGCTGTGTAGATGGATCCCTATAGAAACAATCGTGCAATATTGAACATCTTCTTTCTCTCGTCAAGACTACGTTAGGTTCGTCAGTGGCCGTTGCGCAATTACTGTGCGAAGAAAGGCTCGTCCTTTCTCGGATATATTCGCTCGAAATAGTGTTTAGAGTCTCCTTGGTGTTGCAACATGTTGTAATTATGAGTATGTCGTGGTCGCGATTCAACCAAGGCCGGCACCGTCAACGTTTCTCAGCTTTGCTGCTAACGTGGTGTCGTAGAAGTTGTAGTATGGGTCTGGAATACAGAATGTAGAATGTCGAAGCAGCGTGTCAGCGGTTGGTCGGTCGGTCGGATTGCTGATCATGCGTTAGTGCATGAACGTTTCACAGACAGTAGTTTGAGACTTACACTTGGAAGCAATCATACATGAAGTTCAGCCCATCAACTGTGGCTGTTGACTGGACATCCTCGGGAATAGGCGGCGCTTGGCTGAGACTTCCAAGTTTGAAGATGGCGCCGATAGCTTCTTCCCGGCTCCAGGGTCGCTTTCCCGCAAACATTTCCAAAACCACACAACCAAGCGACCAGATATCGACTTTGGCACTATAGCCCTGGCCATGAGATCGGACCACCTCAGGTGCCATCCAGAAAACCGAGCCCTGCATACTGTTGGTGACGTCGTTGCCGTAGATATTGTCCGATTTCTTCGAGATGCCAAAATCCGAGATCTTGCATGTCCCGTCAAGGTCGAGGAGGATATTGTCAGCTTTCAAATCCCGGTGGAGAATGCCTTCTTGGTGAAGGTATGCCAGTCCTTCGAGCGTTTGTCGCGTAAGTGACCGAACCACAGACTCCTCGAATTTTCCATGCTTGCGGAGACAACTGCCGATTGAGCCACCGGGAATATACTCTAGATAGATACTGATGGAGAACTCCTTACGTTCGCAACCAAGATATTGCACAATATTTGGATGCTCAAGATGCTGCATAGTATCGATCTCTTGGTCCAGAGCAGCAACCATTTCCTTGATGCGATCTTTGTCTTGACCTGCAGCTTTCTGATTGACTTCCACCTGTTTGACAGCCAGGAACTCACCGGTTGTTGCATTCATGCCAAGATACACACGCCCATAAGTACCCTTTCCGATAAGTTGACCGCGAATAATTTTGAAGGTTGCCTGCCGCTTTGGCGTATCGTCCGTGGGGACTTCCTCTTGGGGAATAGGATCTAGGGTAGATAACCGACTGCCTGGTTTTGGTCTGATCTGAACAATGTGGGCGCCAAACATCTTGGTCGACTTCCGCCGAACAATGCTGCTTGCATTATTCTGTTCCACTCGCGCTGCAACAGAAGGTCCTCGTCTGATGTCGTTGCGCTTCTGGGCAACTTCACGGATAGATTTCATCCTAGAGATACCGCCTGTCACCTTGCCAACTTGTCTCTGAGCAACACTGGCAACCTTATCACGATCCTTCGCCTTCAGAGTGGACTCGTCAGAGCCTAGAGTATCCGAGTCGCTCTTGCGACTGAACTCGAGATCGAGTCCAGCCGTGCCGAAAGTGAGTCCGCCAGAGGGTCCCCCGGAGGGTCCTTGGAGGGCATCAAGAGGATCCTGATCGGTCGTTCTCATTGGCGAGTTGTTGTCGCCTTTTTCTTCAAGGTACGGCTTATCGAGATCGACACCTGGGAAGAATTCGTCGAGATGATGAACAACATTTTCCACAGCAGGTCGATTCGCCCAGATGTCGCTGATGAAGGAATCTCTTCTACTCATTCGGTCATCTGGAGACTGGGCAGAACCACTGAAGCTGCCGTCAGACAGGCTGCGCTCGTAACCTTCTCCGCTCGCCGTGGCGCTTTCGTCCCCAGTATTTTGCATGCCACTGGATGAGCTTGGTGACTTGAACCGCACATTTTTGCCGGTATTTTGGTCCGTATCGACCGTCAATGTCGGTCTCTGATCTTTATGGCGGGATGGAGTTTCATCCTTGGACATGGACTTGTTTGCCAAGGGAATGGCGAATAGACCGTCGTCTGAGTCGTCATCTGAATCGTCCTTCATAGGATGGGGAGAAGGAGCAAAAGAGACATTTGTCTCCTTGAATTCCAGATCGGGACCGTGGGACTTTCGAGTTTGTAGAATCGATCGCGGTGCCATTTCAGTCGAAGGACTGACAGCTGGAGAAGGACCGAAACGCTGGGAACTCTCAAAAGTAGCATTCCGTGCCCGATTTTCTTGGTTGATATCGGTAAAACCTTCTTCATAGTTAGGAACTTTGAACAACATATCACCTTTGCCCCTTGTGAAGTCGGGGCGAAAAGACCCACCTGAAGTACTCCGACTGTATTCAGCACCTCTTCTGTCTTGTTGTAGACCTTGACTGCCTACAGTGGCCGGAGCGCCAGCCATCTTGCCAACATTGGCTAATGCGGCACCGATGCCGCCTGAAGGAATGCCTGCAAAGGTAGCAGATTTCTTCTTTCCACGTTCTGCGTCTTCTTCAGCAATTGGGTCAGAGATGCGCTTCAAGGCATCGAGGGACGATCGATTGCTAGATCCTTTAGCACGAAGAGAATTGACCTTGGTTAAAGTGGTGGATTCTGCGGGGGCCGTCGGAGGCCGTCGAACCGGAACCAGATTTTCGACTTTCTTCTCTTCGAACGGCGAGTGACGTGGACTGTCGAAGTCTATGATTGTGCTTCCCCGAATACCACCACCACTGTATGTGGAGGTTGATTCTTTCTGGGCTCGGCGAGATTCCAGGTAAGCCCTTTGCTTCGCCTCCGTTTGCCGTCGATACTCCTCAGCCTGCTTTTGTACGAGAGCAGGGTCGCTTGCAAGTGGTTCAGCACTTGGGGACGCATAACCATTACGACTGACGCCGCCAGAAGAGTTTGATTTGACCATGGGCGGAGCCCTTTCAACTTGAACTTTCTGGCCAAAGGAAACCCCGAGACCAGTTGACTGAGGGGCTGAGCTGGGAATTGCAGAGAGTGTGGGACTCTGGACATACAACTTGAAGCTGCCCAAATTATCTGTCCGGTTCCGCAATGCTACAAGCATGCTGTCCGAGAGCGCACTCTCGTGCTCTGTTTGACCGGGCTCGGTAACAAAGATTTGCGCATATTCGGCGTCGGGTATCCCAAGCTCGATGCAGATGAGACTGCGAAGCGCGATTGCAGTTTCTACTTCCGTGACGTCCACGAGGCGGTAATTCCAACAGTCTGGCGTCACGAAAATGTATCTTCTCGCAACATTAGGGGCCCGCCGGCCCGCCACCAGCGCTCTGTCATCTTCGCTCGCTACCGAAGCAGGGCGCTGAAGCAACACTGAGTCACTTCCATTCGCGGTCGGTCTCGCAAATAGCTTCAATGGTCCCGGGCTTGTCGGTGACTCCAATGGATGTTCATCTGATTGAGGCTGGCTATGCTCGTGCCTCTTCCTCATAAACTTGCTGAGAAAGCCCTTACTGTGGTCTTTCCCCCCCGGACCTGGTGCGTAGTCATTGCTCCAAGTTCGTTGGGCTTCTAGAGGCGAGGGTCTGGTCATCTCTTGTGCATCGCGTCTGTCTGCATAAAAGCGTTCTGAACCCCCGGACGGTGCATTACCCCTCTCAAAGGTACCTTGAACACTGACATTTGAGCGAGAATGACTTGTTGCTTTCAGCATAGAATCAGTGCTGTTGCTCTTGCTATGGTCCGGTCGCTGTAGCTGGGACGAGGTGCTTGTAGCCGATACGGGGACGGCGTTTCCAAGGCCCGGACTGGCACTGGGAGAGGCATCAAATGCCTTTGGCAGCAAGCCGTTGGAGCCATCGCCGGAAAGGTTAGGGCTGTGTCGACCGCGATTGTTGATGCCGGTCAGAACACCCCTGGTGTGGTCTGTACGCCCGGCGCTTGGAAGAATATCCGGTGGCCTGGAATCGCCCGGGGTTGAAGATGCGCTGCTGTGTTTGCTAAGAACAGGCATGGTGCTGCTTCGGCCCTGAGAATTTCGAGGACCCAATCCTGTCGGAAATTGTGGAGGCATTTGTTTGCCGGGACTGCCTTCCGGACCAGCAGTGCCAGGCGCGCTGCTAAATTCCGATCGGGGAAGATGAGGCGAGGTCTCCAGAGTTCCCTCCGTGGATGCACTCGGAATCATACCAGACTCGCGCCTCCGATGCCCGATACCTGCACTGGCCGGACCTTCCCCTCCTTGTTCGACGAGACGAGAGATCAGCTTGCGCAGCCTCTTGCCTTCTTCACGCTCGCGGGCCTGATCCCAGCCCGTATTGCCGCTCGAACAAACCTTCGCGAGCTGTGGATAGATAGTTTGATGCATCATGCCAAGATTTCCGCGGCCATTCGGTCCACGACCGAGGTCTAGAAAGTCGGAGCCTTGCAATTTCAGCACCCTGAACGTCTCTTGCCAATCATTCGAAAACCCGTTGGCG